GGTTCAGCCGTGTGTAGTTGGCCTGCGCTTTTTTTCTCTTCTTAGTTGTATTTTTATCCTCGTCCGTCTCCAGTTCTCCCAACCTCAGATTAGCTGAATGGCAATTCCAGTTATTTCGGTTGCTTTCATGTTCCGATCTCCCCTCAGGCTAATTGCTTCTCATTCTCTGGCACGCCAGCCCTGAGGATGCCGGCAGGTGACGGCGAAAGCTTGGCGCTTTTTAAAACTTTTATAGTTTTAACCCATTAAAAACTTCTTTAGTTTTTATTACCCTAGTGTTCATTTTTATATTTTATTATGAATATCCCTAGGGTTCACATTTTTAACCTTTTTAATCGTCATATATATATATATATATATATTCGTCAGTCTTTTGCCTGTATGTGTGTGTGTGTGTGTGTGTGTTTTCTGAGGTTTTCGCGGGTGTTTGTATGTAGGTCTTTGGTTGTTAGGGTTTTCTCGAAGCACGAAGCTGAAAACACCAGCCTGAAGATGACAAATGGGACTTCGTCGAAATGTCGCCAAGACACTTCCATTTTTACGTGGAAGAAAACCCGAACAACCAAAGATATATATATTCTCTGTGAAGCTAACAGTTTAGCTAATGAGCGCGTGACGGGTCTATTTGACCCCCACCCTCCCACAATCAGTTGCATCGATCCTATTTCCGTCAGGTTATGGTTCAATTCAATGATAATTGGAATAAATTCATTAAAATCTGTGGGAAATGTTAACTCTTGGCTAATTTCTGCAATTGGCTTCACTAGGTGTACTTTGGCTATAAAAAAAATTCTAGACTAAATTCACTTTGTTTATACAGATTTTTCTTTTTTCTTTATTAAGCATTGACTTTTAAATGCCCCGACAAAGCTGACCAGAAGCCCATAGAGAAGAAACTTCCAGGTAAAGAAAAGTATATCTGTATTCCATATTTCCTGCATGTTACAATTATTTTGGTCATTGTGTGCATATTGCAATAAGATAGGTAGTAACACTTCTGAAGATATTTTTCCCTATCTGAAATCATTGCAAATGTCGTAGCCTTCAAAAGAAATGCAAGCCAACATCCATTTTGAAGCAGAGCAAGACAAATCAATATAATATATGGAAAATAGACTATTGTAATTTGATCCAGAGTATTCTAATTAGATTTTTTTTCTACAGTGAGGGAAAAAATTATTTGATCCTCTGCTGGTTTTGTATGTTTGCCCACTGACAAAGAAATGATCAGTGTATAATTTTAATGCTAGGTTTATTTTAACAGTGAGAGACAGAATAACAACAACAAAAAAATCCAGAAAAACACATTTCAAAAAAGTTATAAATTGATTTGCATTTTAATGAGTGAAATAAGTATTTGATCTCCTATAAATCAGCAAGATTTCTGGCTCCCAGGTGTCTTTTATACAGGTAATGAGCTGAGATTAGGAGCACTCTCTTAAAGGGAGTGCTCCTAATCTCAGCTTGTTACCTGTATAAAAGACACCTGTCCACAGAAGCAATTAACCAATCAGACCAAAGAGCTGTCCAAGGATGTCAGGGACAAGATTGTAGACCTACACAAGGCTGGAATGGGCTACAAAACTATCACCAAGCAGCTTGGTGAGAAGGTGACAACAGTTGGTGCGATTATTCGCAAATGGAAGAAACACAAAATAACTGTCAATCTCCCTCGGTCTGGGGCTCCATGCAAGACCTCTCCTTGTGGAGTTTCAGTGATCATGAGAACGGTGAGGAATCAACCCAGAACTACACAGGAGGATCTTGTCAATGAGCTCAAGGCAGCTGGGACCATAGTCACCAAGAAAACAATTAGTAACACACTACACCATGAAAGACTGAAATCCTGCAGTACCAGGAAGGTTCCCCTGCTCAAGAAAGCACATATACAGGCCTGTCTAAAGTTTGCCAATGAACATCTGAATGATTCAGAGAACTGGGTGAAAGTGTTGTGGTCAGATGAGACCAAAATCGAGCTCTTTGGCATTAACTCAACTTGCCGTGTTTGGAAGAGGAATGCTGCCTATGACCCCAAGAACACCATCCCCACTGTCAAACATGGAGGTGGAAACATTATATTTTGGGGGTGTTTTTCTGCTAAGGGGACAAGACAACTTCACCGCATCAAAGGGATGATGGTCAGGGCCACGTACCGTCAAATCTTGGGTGAGAACCTCCTTCCCTCAGCCAGGGCATTGAAAATGGGTTGTGGATGGGTATTCCAGCATAGCAATGACCCAAAACACACAGACAAGGCAACAAAGGATTGGCTCAAGAAGAAGCACATTAAGGTCCTGGGGTGGCCTAGCCAGTCTCCAGACCTTAATCCCATAGAAAATCTGTGGAGGGATCTGAAGGTTCGAGCTGCCAAATGTCAGCCTCAAAACCTTAACGATTTGAAGAGGATCTGCAAAGAGAAGTGAGGCAAAATCCCTCCTGAGATGTGTGCAAACCTGATGGCCAACTACAAGAAATGTCTGACCTCTGTGATTGCCAACAAGGGTTTTGCCACTAAGTACTAAGTCATGTTTTGTGAAGGGGTCAAATACTTCTTTCACTCATTAAAATGCAAATCAATTTATAACTTTTTAAAAATGCATTTTTCTGGATTTTTTTGTTATTCTGTCTCTCATTGTTAAAATAAACCTACCATTAAAATTATAGACTGATCATTTCTTTGTCAGTGAGCAAACATACAAAATCAGCAGGGGATCAAATAATTTTCCCTCACTGTACATCAATAAGGATGGTTTCTTTATACACCACGTAGATTCTTAGTATAATGTAATAGAAAATTAACATCTGTCCCTGTTTTTTTTTATGGAAAAGTGCATTTTGTTTAGAAATGTACAGCTCATTTCAGTAAAATGCCTAGTAAAAATGTATGCCCTCTACTTTATTTATTGATAATGGTATATTATAACTAAAAGATGAGATATCCATAAACCCTTTGATGTTTGTATTTTGAAAAGTATTTATTCAAAATAAAAATCACATTTATCACAAGTTGCATAAAATGATACAGCTTTTTCAAAAAGTTAATAGAAAAATACTTTAAAGTACATTGTTGACAATAGAGGACTATTGCTTTGTCTTCAGATAAAGCTTTAAATGAAATAAGGGGAAAATTACCCAGCATAGCCAATCTCTAGATGAGTCAGATTTATAATACTTTTACTCCTTTAAATCTTACTATAAAAATACAGTTTCACGTTCATATTGTTAATCTGAAATACAAGTGCATAAGGTTAATAGTAATCTGGACAAATCAGCACATAAATATTTGGGGGCCTCATACCATGAAGTAGAGGAAAAGGCTTCACTCATAGTGTTAAGGTACAAAAGAGCTAATGCCATAAACAGTATTTTGAAGGTCACTTAGGTCAGTCAGTGTGTTGTAGATAAGTAGAGTCTATAATTTGGTAAACTTTTGCTTGGGAAGAGTACCCTTTTAATGTCAAATTAAGTGATTCTAATTGGTTCCTGTGAACTGCAGGAGCTCAACGCTCACAAATCTATTCAGTATCAACTTTTGCTAGAATTTCAGTTGCTGTGGCGTCAAGTGTTATCTATCTATAGTTAAACAATTCTCTCTTTAATGCAGATTCTATGACTATCCAGAAGGTCAAAGGACTGCTGTATCGGCTACTTAAAATTCCAGGCTCAGAACTGAAACTATCATATGAAAGTTCTAAAGTAAGCTCAAATTCAGTAATGCAACAATACATGAATTGAGACTTTGCAGAATAATACAACTTGTTACACTGGTAAAATCAATACATTGCACTCTAATGTTGGATGATTGATTTCTTTGTAAGAAAAGTATTATTGTTTTGAAATCGATTAGCTTCCTTTCCTTTATATTCCCTCTTAGTCTTTTAAGATATACAAGATTAAAATGTGCAAATCTAATATCTATCTGAATCATTTTTTAAATTCTAGATGAAAGGCAAAGAATTTGAACTGGACAATGACCTAAAGCCCTTGCAATTCTACTCTATTGAAAATGAAGATTGCATTCTAGTACGATGGTAAAAGCTGCCTTTGATACATTTTGAAGATAACTTGCACACTGCTAATAAAGTTTAGGCTGATTTTTAATTGTATTGTTGGGGAAAGCCTTTATAAAAACATATCACTGTTTGGTAGAGAAGCTTTTGTATTCTTGTTTTTTTTAAAGAAAGGAAAAAGAAATATCATGCCTGTAAGAAAAAAATGAAAGCTTTTGCCAGCTTCAAATAAAAGTAATTCATTTGTGCTACACTAGTAACTTACGGAAATCAGTGGGACTCTCAACAAACCTTCCACTCACTACTATACAAATAACATATTTGAGAGAATTAAAAGCTGAGGTATTTCATTACCAACCCATCCCAATAGCCACAGAATACCAGAAAGCATAAAAATCACTCAACGGGGGGAAAAAACCCTAGTATTTAATATGCATATAGGAGAAAGGGCTACTGTCTTAGTCCCTCTACATGTTGGCTGAAACTACACAGAGGATAAATAGAATTACTACAGCATCTGACTTCCTTCTTTGCAGGAGTTACATGATAATATATCAGTCTTCCCAGCAAGAGGCATTGTTTCCCTCATATCTGAAATACAGACTGAAATTAAAACATCAGTCTGATCCACAGTTCTTTAGAAGCCAACATGTGTGCAGTGTGCCTTGGTTAAATGTCTTCTCCAGCAAGGCATACGGGCAGAGAAGTGCAAGTTTAATATGCAATATGTACAGTATTGTATCTGCCTTTCTCAGTTTAGTCTCAGTCCCTTGATACTGTATACACTAAATGCATGAAAAGTCAAGTTTATCTACTTCTGTAATATATTAATAAAGAATTCACATTTATATTTGGCTTCGTAAAAGAGTATATTTAAAAATGAAATGAGTCCATTTATTAAAAAGGGGATGTGTGTGCAAATATAGCCCTAAGGGCCATTTCACACTAGACAAATTATCTACATGAAACACTTCTTTAAAGAATGTGTGAAGCTTGTCTGTAGTTTACTGCCATATTGAAATGAACATACACTGTATGTAACCAGTGGAATAGAAGCATAAATTGGCTAGCGACATACTCATACTTTGTCACCAGCAACAGACTACACAGGAGGCTGATGGAACATCTGTTTTGAGGCTTTCCCTTCCTATCCTTTCTAACGTTTTCCTTAGAGTGTTTGCCACCCTTCATTTTTCTTCACATTTGCAGGGGTCTCCACAGCGTTCCTTTATTTTCCACAGCTCTTCAAGCTCTTGAGCAGAATACTGAGGCGAGGACAGCATACCACTCTCACAAGTCTTCTCACACAACCAGAGATTGTCCTGTTTTAAAAGAAAGCAAGATGTTGCTGTAAATGTTGCTGTACTATGTATCCTGGTTTAGGCAAGTACTGACAAGCTAAGCAAACAATTCAAAAAAAGGAAAGAAGGACAGAGGCAATATTTTATTTAAAATTGATTTTTGCACTGCCCTTCCATAAACTATGTTAAAAAAAACATACAAATTCCAACATGGAATATAACTAAACGGACTATTATAAAACATTTGACAGACAAATCTACACTTGATTTGCAACAGCAAATTGACCGAGATAAGAAAGAAGCCAAGTAATTTAATCAAGTTTAGTCTTTAATCATTTTATAATATGAAGTTATTTGTATGTTTCTTTGTTTTTTTAATTGCCTTAAAAAGCAATTAATGGAATTTAGCAGATTAAGTATTTATTTGTTTCCTCATTACTGTATTACAAATTGTTGAAACCACTCACATTTCAAAGTAATTTGCCATGAGACTGGAGGGAAAGATCAACTGAAAAACAAGTCTGTAAACTGGTTTGGAAAGAGCTGGATTCTGCCTTAAATCTACATTTTTATTTCATTAATCACTAAGGGGCTCTTTTAGGTAGTAAGACAAAATTATCTGAAGTATTTATCAATGCCAGGTTGATAAAACTTACACATATTTATAAGCATAAGTCAGTAGCTCTGAAAAATCACTTCTTGAGGCTTTCATGACTCCTCCCCATCCTTGAATACATATTTCAAAAGTCCACAAAACTGATTTCGGGGTATTTGAAAATGTTGGGATGCACTAGGGGTCTGTAAAAGTTACTGCTATCATTCATACAGATTTATTCAGAAATTTCATCTTACAGTTACACATACCTGGTATCTTTTTGGCCCAATGGCTGCCATCCAAATACCCATGCTCACATCTTCACCCTATGTGTATAAATTAAGTCAGAACCAAAACAAGGAGTGTAGTAAATAACCAAAATCAGAACTGAAACTCGCTGCAGAAGGCACATGCTTCACAAAATAAATTTTGCCTTATTTTTAAACACTTCTGTCAACAACCTTTGTTTAGATTATAGATGCCTAACAACCCTATACCAAAAGAAGTATAATGAAGAACTTAAGCACCTTCATAAAGAAAACAGCTTCTACAATTCACGGCAGATTTTCAGTAATTTCATAGATTTAACTGTGATTTTTTTGTTTTGGAAACAAAATGGAACTGATTTGCCACTGTCACCTTCTGGGTTTTTTCAACTCTCCAGTCTTTCCTATGGTCTCACATCTAAATATTTATCAAGTTTGAACTTGCATAGCTTTTGGGGGGGAATAAGTCAAGATAATGCAATATTTCTCTACCTCAGCAACATTTTAAGATGTGAGGACTTCAACTCCCAGAATCTTTCCAGCCATCCTGTTGCCTGGCGTAATTCTGGAAGTTGATGTCCACACGTCTAAAAGTTAGTGAGGTTGATAAACACTGATCTATTGCAGTATAAAAATTCTGTCCAAACAGAATTCTATGTATACCATTCATTCACCTACCTACCAATGTGCAGATGTTTCCATTATTTTGATTTTATAGTTTACTTTACAATAGAGAAAGTATGTGAATTTGCACAAAGAATCTTGGAGGACTACTTATCTGTACTCCCAATATCAGAAATCAAATTTTTATTAGTGATCCAATTTATTCAGTAGGTAAAATCCCACTTTGCTCTAATCATGCCCGACTCTCCTACCAAAAAACTTACCTGATATATTTTGAGTCTTTCAGAATTGCTTGCTAGCCATTCTACAACATCTTTGGAAATAACATAACCAGACCCACAAGCAAAAGCTGGATATGCAGGACCTGGGTATTCCAACTCTTGCCACTTCCCAGTCCGATCAACTGCCCAATTTAATCTGAAACTTAAGCCAAAACATTCTTCTTTTGATACAAAATTAATAAACAGTCCTCTAACCTATCTGTGCAATTGAGGAAGCTTTCCTAAGCTCTCTTTCACAGGCTTGACTAGCAAACTGTCCTTTCTCCAAAACTGTCAAACAGACATTTTAACTCCTTTGACCATTTCCTTAAAAGTGGTATGCTTATTCCCCAGCTTGCCCTTGCTCCCTTATAAGGGGGGTAAGTAGATCCCTTTAATAATTCATCAAGAGGCTTAAGTAACAAGAACCCACACTCGTTTCATGCTTTGAGAGGTTTACCAACAGACAACTGTCGGGGTTTTAGAAAGTGAGGGAAAGCAATATCTGTGTCGCCATGTTTTAACCTTGGGATGGAACCCATCACTTAAACTTTTCAATTAAAATACATTCGAAAGAGGAAGAAAAATAAATAAAGCTCCACTGGAATATTTTGCTTGTAACTTCAGTAGACAGGTTTAAGATCCTTAAAGGAATAATTCAATTATTTGGATTTTTTTTTCCACTTCATTCCAGGGCAATTAGGAATGTAAGTAGTAGTTTGTCACTGCCTTCTGCTGAGATTTTTGTCCATTTTCTGGTCTAGATTAGAATCCCAGCATTTTCTAGAAGTCTCCTAACCAACTACTAATAATGGCCTACCATTCTTGAACAAAGCTAAAAAGACTAGGGAATTTGGGGAACTGAAGTTTACACATCTTCAAGTTGCCAAGTTTGAAGAACAATGATATAAACTGAGAAATTATATTGGTGCACAAATTAGATTAAACCACACAATATTTAGAACACAACAGACAATTCTGAATCCCATAACACACGCCCCCAAATCTGTCAGTTAAAACAAGGTTTCACTGTTCATTCTCATTGTCAGCATCTGCACATAGTAGTAAGTCAGGACTGGGGAATTTACAGCACTTTATTAACTTTAAAGTTCATTTGTGAGAGAGGAATTCAGATTTCTGATGAATATTTGTCCTTTACCAGCAATTTACTAATTGGTAAACAGAAACAGGCATTGGAAGAAAAAGGAGAATATAAGAGTAGAAAAATCCTGTTAAAGTTTTTGGCTTTAATCCCTTCCCTCCTTCATTAAACACCCATATTCACATGCATACTTGTTGCTGCCCTATAGGACCTGTCTCAGACACTCTACAGATGAACACACAGAACCAATTAAAATAACTCAGTGTAGTTTGGTCAATGAAGCAAGACATTTTGAAACAAGGTTCTTAGATCTGTTTTAATCATTGTTTGATGTCTTTTCAATAGTGCTTTACAGAAAAGAACATTAACAAAAAAACAGTTTTTAAAATGATTTTTCTATTAAAAATATCTTTCCTTCTCTCTTTAACAGTCAACTCTCTTTAACTGCAGCACATCTATTTTGATTACTATGAAATTCTTTACACTAACTGTATAAATAACAACACAATATATTACAATACGATACTCACTTTCCCCACCAGATATTTGGTCTGCCCAAGTTTTTAAGCTTTATTCTGTTAAATATTGTCTCTAAATCTATGTAGCAGTCATCATCTGTCTTCAGCAGGACGTCAAAACTTGCAGCTTCTACAGTCCTATATCAAAATCATTAATGTTATCATCATCTAGAAAAGTATTTGTTAATATGCATCCTTATCTGTCATGAATGGCAAGTATCTAATCAAATTAAACCCATAATAGCAAATAAAACAATAATCTTATTTTAAGAATATATTAAACGGTGACCCAGCACATTGTAGAATAGTTCATTCTTATCCTTGAAGGCTGCATTAAATAAAGGAGCAAAGGAAAGGAATCTGATCTACAACATTTTTTTGCCAGAAAATGGCATTTATTTCCACTTTCCAGCGAAAAAACACTCCATGGCAAACAATGGGTTCATTTAACAACAGCTGTGTTTGCTGAACAACTGCTGTGTTTGCCTTATGGCCACTACATTTCTTAATGACCACTGCCAAAATGATCATAAAATCAGATGACCCACTTAACAACCATCATAAACTACAATCAAAATTGCAGGCTCAATTATGCTCCTAAGTCAAGGACTACCTATATTCAGTGCCATAGTGTTATTTTTATACCAGAAATTAACAAGCAAAATCCATATGATATCACCACCCTACACTCCAGCTTACCATCGGTAGAAATTCAGTAATTTGGCTGGAACATTTCTGTAAGTATCAACAACATCAACAAAAACTATATCATCGTAAGTGTTGCTTTCTTCCTTTAGTAAGGCATCCTCCTTTTCTAGTTTGTTCATATGATTTAGGAATCTTTCAGAGCGACCCTGCAGGGTTTGTAAAAGTGTCTCACCTTCTGAAATAGAAACAGGAAAAGGCTATCTCACATTACAATTTTATATTGTCCTTCCACTGAAAGGTTTCTGGTATGCTTCCTTTGAGCTACATCCAATGTTACGTGAGGGAATGTCCTTATGCAATGGGGTTTCTTGTTCTTCTCCCAAACCTACCCAAATGTGATGCCACAGACTCCCTCAACCCTCCAAATCTGATAAGAAATCTACAAATGGAAAAGCAATTCATTTCGCTATCAGATTTTGATCAGAAAATGCATTCAATGAAAGAAAAAACTAGGCAATTATAGGCAGTTTATTAGTTCAATAAACTTGTGCAGTCTTCTAAAGTACAAAAGCCAGTGAAGAATTAAGCAGCAATAAAATATTAAGTACACTGAAAAATGATTGGGCAAAATAACCACACATATTATTTCCGTGGGTGCGAAATGCTTTTTCCTATCACTTCTCCCTCTGAATTTCCTAACAGAACAACTCTAGGCTTTCCTGCTTGAGCAGGGAATTGGAGTAGAAGACCTCCAAGGTTCCTTCAACTCTGTAATTCACTTATTCTGAATACACGGTCAAAGTTTCCAGCTAGTAATCAAACAATCCAAAATACATTTTGAGAGGAAGTGGCTAGAGCAGAGAGGTGGAATTGTCTCTTTCCCATCCCTCTGATGAAAGTCCTTATATCAGAAACAAGGCTATTTCTTTAAATTCTTACTATTTTGCATAATACTAAGAAAAAAATTGCAAAACGAGAAAACTCAAGTTCAAACATACTTACCTAAACATGTATTAAAAACAGCTTCCTTCACAAAGTGAACCACAACCCACAAAATATTCTTCCTCTCCAGTAGTACAAAGTGGCACAAAGACAAACTTCTAAACAAGACTCAGAATTTGGACACTTCATGTCACAATAGCTCTGTATTTTTTACCATCCGTGTTTTAAGCAGTCAGACAAGCGCAACAATTCCCAGTGAGACAGGGTGCTCCAAGACTGAGGTAGAAAAAGCACATCCACTAAGCCATCTGGACCTGAGGTGTATTTCATCTACCAGCTTAGCATTAACAGAAGGAAGCATCAGCATCTTTTGCTGCTTACCTTGAATAGTATAAATAAAGCCACCTGCAATCCCCTCCACACCTTGTGTAAATTCATGTGGTAGTGATCCTTCTCCTGCCTATTGTGGACAGTTTAAAAAGATAATTAATTAAAACTTACCACAATATACTGTACTTATTCTATTTAGCCCAATTAATATGGGGTAAATCTGATTGTACTGTCAGAATTCATTTTTAACAATAATTTCTTACTCACAAAAGGGAGGGGAGCCTCCACTCTTCCAGTTTGCCAAAAAAGAGTTAAGACCTGGCTTCGCCAATTAGCATGGGTGTCTAAAAGTATGATGTAGCCCTGGGGATGGCTAGTGTCCTGGGAACAACTTCCTAGCCTGTGAATTTTAACCTGATTTAATTTTACTTTTAAATTTTAATTTGTTTTCAATCTGGTTTCTAAGCTACGCTTTTATTCATGTACTTATATGGCTTTATTATGATGTTGTAAACCACTGAGATGAGATAGAACAGCGGTTCCCAACCTTTTCTATACCCTGTACCCCTAAAACGCTTCTGATATATTCTCGCACCTCTTACAAAGGTTCAAAATAACAGCAATGAATTATGCATATATACTATAATTTTGAAAACCCAAATTTTCACATCCCCAGGAATATTGTCTCGCACCCCCAGGGGGTGCAACCACCCCCGGTTGGGAACCCCTGAAATAGACAATATAGAAATTTAATCAATAAACACATTGTGCTATCATAATTTATAATTCACAGCCTCTACTTTTAGAATTGCCAAAATTCTTAAAACTTTTAACTGGAGATGGACATAAGCAACAAGCCAAGGAAATATAAAAAAGTTCTATTCTGCAAACAAAACAGTACTTGTCAGCTCACAAGATCCAACATTTTCTCTCTAGAAATGTATCTACATGCAAACATAGGTGTACAATGTCACAAAAATGCATTCTATGATCCTGAAAGCATCAAGCAATACTTCAGACATGTTTGACCTACATAAGATATAGTTAAATACTTACATAATGTGTTCATTATAGATTAGCTTTATGTGATTTTTATTTCAGCATTAAGACCTCCAGAAGTTTTATCTTATTTTCAGTGCTGCTGAAGCAATGTGCTAGAGCATACAGCAATTATATTGCAATAATGTACAAAATCAGAACATTTATTTTAAATGCTTTGTACCACCTGATATATTTGTAGAGCTTTTAAGCAAGCATAGAGTTTTCTGTTTTAACCCTGTCTTTTCAGGGTCTATGATTCAACAGCATTCAACAGACCACTGGTTTCCTTATCCCTGCTTTACTTCCTTAAAATTAGCAGCTAGTATCCCAATCACTGAAAGTGGTTATTCTATGTTTCATGAGACTAAAATATTCATGTGGACACAATGGTAAAAAGGGGCAGAAAGGGGAAAAGCTAGAATGTAACACCAATTCATCAGTTGTATGTTGAAAATAGCTACTGTCACCAGACAGAAGAGGTTATATAGGACAAGATGCAGGACTCAAGAATACTGAAGTACATAGAACTTTAAGATCATCCTGGAAACTATAAAGTAAATTGCACCTGTACAAACCTAAATGGTTAATATTTGATTAACCGTCCTTAATCATGGAAAATAATACAAATGAAGACATTTCCTTTGAGACAACTCTTTAGTGATGTAAATGGGTTTTGCCAGAAGATCACACTTCGTATGCAAGGTCATCCTAGTTCACTGCACATAAAACAGATGCATAGAGAGAACTGCCACTCCCCTAATGTGAAATAATACACCATAAAGTACATGAAGAAATTAGTAATATATAAAATATTCTGTGCACAAAGCGCACCATGCAGGAATAATTATTTTCAAATGCTCCATGTTTGAACCAAAATATGCCTGTTTTGGACGTTTTTGTCTGTATACTGGCTTCTTTTTTTCTTGAGACAGAGCAAAAAACAATTGCTTCAGACAGCAATGGTGAAAGATAATAGGAAAATCTCAAGGCTGCAGGGTTTTCTCAGTGCTGGCATATACTGACATTAACAACAGCGGAAGGCACTGGGACGCTCAGGAGGCAGGCAAGCAGGCCAAGGGAATATCTCTCATTGGGACATCAGGGGCAGAAATTTGAGGGAGAGGTAGGGCAGCTGTTGCAATGTGCCATGTTCAGAGCCTGTCCTTCATTGCTGAGACCCTTGTGGCAAGGGGCAAGTGCTTGGTCAATACACTGATGGCAGCAGCTGAAAAGAGGCAAGGAAGGAAGATTCCGGGAAGATGGTAGTCTGGTGGAATGTGTTGTGCTGGGAAAGGAGATGGAAGAAGAAGGAGGGATGTATTGAGAAGATAAGGGGTGGCCCATAAGCTATGTGGAATGGATGATGCATAATAAGCTTGGCTTCTCAACTTCATAAAATCACAGTGAATCACTCCGGCTTTTGTTTCAGCCCAAAAGTGGGACAACTGAAAACACTCCAGCTTTTGTTTCAATTACACTGTGTCTGAGCGCAAATGGTTTGGCAGAATTTCTAGATTACATTGGCTTGTGTCAGAATCAGAACAAAAGATATTTTCTATTTTGTACATAGCCTTCATGGAATTCAAACTTGCAAAGTCTGAACAAAGTTAACTCTGGGTAAAAGAATGATTTTGGATACAGAGCCCCCTAATTTATATCTATGTTTTGTAAAGTACAACTCAAGAGGACCACTACCTTCTGATATACAGTGATTTAGAACTGCAGTCCAGCTGAAGATATTTTAGGTGATAACTCATGGGTCAACCCAATTAGGTTTGTAACTGTAATTGAGTAAACATCAATAAGAGAGTTCCAAACACTCCTGCAAACAAAAAGTTAAGGGGTGTGTAATCCACATTTTTGGATAGTCTCCAACACTCCAGTCAAGGAGAAACAGCACACGCAGCTGTTTCTCGCAGAAGTCATACATGGAGTTTTTAATGGTTACTTTGGTCTCAAATAAGCTGTAGTTATGTAGGGCATCTGCATTTGAAAAATGATTTCTTTGTTATTAGCTTCTGCCTTGGAAATGTTTGCAGTTTTTCAAGCACCATGTTCTGTTCTTATGGGAGACGTCCAATCCCAATAATTGCATTCACTGAATATTTCCATATAGATTTTAGAAATAAAGAACAAAAGGGAATGCACAAAGGATAAATGTGGCAAAAGCAAGGAAGCCTTGCAAATTCAAAAGATTTGCGAAGTCAGTAAATAGGGTTGCTGAACTAGATCCAGCTACATTTCTTTTCATTAATCTCTTGCCTTTAATTTCTTTGGTTTATTATTTCTTATACTTTTTCTATAATTAGCATATGCTGCTTACCTCAAAAGACAACACCACAGTAGTATATACTGTATGTATATTTTAACAACCCAAAACTCCTACATTCCCCCATTCTACTACACACATATTTATAGAGAACATCTATTTATGTGGTTGCTGGAGTGCAAAACAACTCCGTAGCACATAATCAATTAAATACATATAATTTTATATGCCTGTATACTGAAATGCACTCTTGCACTTTTATTATGCACTGAAATGTTACCTAGTTGGGTAATGAAACATCTGCAAGAAAATAACCAAGCTCAAAGAGCACCAAGGATTCAAAAGTGTTACTTTTTTAAGGGACAATACAAAGTGAATAGTGACATATAAAGGAATTAGGATATTTTATTACTATTTTATACTTCAACAAGTTTCTTAAAAGTGTTTTAGTCTAATTGTTCAGAAATAGTTCCTAGCTAACTTATGTCTCATCCTTCTTAAATTAAGAACATTTACCTGAATAGTGGCTTTAAATAAAGTACTTGTAGAGGAGCTACAAGTGTTGACAACATTAGCATTTAATTTCTGCATATATATTTCAATTGTGAATTAGCATAACTATTTAACACTGAAAGATGTTGAAGATACATAAACAATATGGACAGAAGGGAAAATAAATTATTTAAAAATCTGAAACATTTACAAATTTGTTCATTCGAAGAAAAATTATTTGTTCATTTAAAAGAAATGGGAATAAAAAGACAGACCGTAATGATTCTGAAGACACCACCGCCATCATTCACCATCACTTTATGAAGATTTCTAGAAACAAGGCCTTGCAGATCCTGGCTTTCCCATACAATGGTGCCTTCAAAACTCTGTCAAAACAGCCATCATAAACTATTAACTGTATATCAATATGTGAACACGTTTATTTATTTATGAGACTTATATACCGCTTTAAGTGCAAGCACTCTCTAAGCGGTGTATACCAGTAAGCAATGTATATATATATATATATATATATATTTACATTGCCCCCAACAATCTGGGTCCTCATTTTACCTACCTCGGAAGGATGGAAGGCTGTTAGATAAATGTATTTCAGAAATCTTTTTGAATGCTTTGAAGACGGAATTAATCTGAAGTATTATAATTTAATTTTGATACAGAAACAGATATAGACTAGAGCTGGGCAAAGCATTCAAAAGAAGTACTTTGCAATGGGTGGTCAGAGTGCCAAGCACCTGTCTTCCAAGCACTGAAGAAGCCACATGTTGTGGAAGGCTTCTGCAGCTGCTTTCCTGACTGTGTTTACAGATTGCATGTATGTAGGCACAGCTGCTTCACTAGCAACCCGCAAATAAAGTCTTCAAAGCAACTGAGCAAGAATTCCAAATAATATGGCTTCTATAGTGCTTTGCCCAGATTAAGCCTCTTTGCAAAGCACCTGTTCTGAATGCTTTCAACAGCCCAAAATATATGCCCAACTGAGCTGACAGCTGCACTTTATATTTTATAATGAAAAATCAGTGATAAGACAAAGCTTATCATTTGTTCATCATGGGGAATAATTCTTAAGTGTTCAGATACAATCCTTTCTTTAAAAAAAAAAGTATTACCAACTAGTAAAACACCAGAGTTCTTTTTCCTGTCTGTCAAACATATAGACTACTGATATTTGTGGTTTCTGAAATACTGCAATCTTCAAAAATCAACAAAGAAATCTAGCCACTTTTAGTATGAAAAGGTGACAAAATATTGTGCAAGTACAGTACAATGAAAAGAATGTAGGCACTGTGATATGTCGGCAAGTGCCTAAGACATTTTAAAACTACAGTTAACTAACCAGGATTTGATAGCCTGATTCATATTTAATGTTATGCCTGAATCAGCTTATTAGCAATTTAGAGTAATCCCTACTGAAAATGTTAGAATTTCCTTTTGACAAAGCATACATAGATTTTTATCTACACTGGTAAATTTTCATCTAAAACCAGAATATCCTCTATCTTGTAAGTATAGCTATTATTGTATATAGGCACAAGTTGATAACTTCATCTATTATATTGTGCAAAAAACCTAAATGCTAGTTTACTTATAATAATTTCAATTTACATTATTTTATATGATCCTGGGGAGGAAAGCTATGGCAAATCTAGACAGCATTCTAAAAAGCAGAGACATCACCCTGCCAACAAAAGTGCATATAGTCCAGGCCATGGTTTTCCCAGTTGCAATGTATGGCTATGAAAGTTGGACCATAAGAAAGGCTGAGCGCCAAAGAATTGAGGCCTTTGAACTATGGTGCTGGAGAAGACTCCTGCGAGTCCCTTGGACTGCAAGGCGTTCAAACCGGTCAGTCCTAGAAGAGATCAACCCCGACTGCTCTTTAGAAGGCCAGATCCTGAAGTTGAAACTCAAGTACTTTGGCCATCTAATGAGAAGGAAGGAATCACTGGATAAGAGCCTAATGCTGGGAAAGATTGAGGGCAATAGAAGAATGGGACGACAGAGAATGAGATGGCTGGATGGAGTCACTGAAGCAGTAGGTGTGAATTTAAATGGACTCCAGAAGATGGTAGAGGACAGGAAGACCTGGAGGAACGTTGTCCATGGGGTCGCGATGGGTCGGACACGACTTCACAATTAACAACAGCAACAACATATGATACTATTCTATGAATTCTAGAGAGATTTATTTATTTATTTATTTATGAGACTTATATACCGCTTTATATATTACATATAATCATATAAATTCATAAACAATATTATATTGGTCCATTCATTAACTAAAATGCTGACAACTGTATATGAGATTTTCCTCTAAAAGGCTTGTGTAAAAATCATTTTTTCCCTAAATGACAAAAGGGAAATAACTATCCTAACCTCAAGAGCAAGCTACTCCTCAGCGAAGGCTATCCTCCAGGCCCTAACTTCTAATCTCCCGGGAGGATGGAAACCACAGCATTCCCCTTGGCTCACATGTATTGGACAAAAAGATTCTACCTGGAGTAGACAGTCACAAAGGTAACAAGGACTCAAATCATAAAAGATTTTGTAAGTAATAACCAACACTTCGGTTTGAATCTGGAAGACAATCAGCACCAACATAGCTCCTGTAAAACCAGTGTCTTTCTGATATATCGGGTCTACCAGCTGATGGGAAGGGAGTTGCATTCTGTGTCAACTCTGCCTTCTAAATCATCTTCATGGACAGTCATTAAGTGCAGGTAGTTGTCTTGCCAAGAGACAATTATATGAGCACTTCTGTTCAAGAATGAGAACTATGAACCAGCCAAACTTGACTAAATATTTTCCTTGTCAGAACATCTACCTGTTATTTGGGCCCAAGGTTATATATATAGCCTCAATTCTAGCCATCTCTGGAGCAACATCTGGCATCAGATTCTCCTGGAGCAGTGGTTCTCAACCTTTCTAATGCCACGACCCCATAATACAGTTCCCCATGTTGTGGTGACCCCCAACCACTTATACATCACCAGGTGCCAGGGGCGTGGCCAAAGAAAAGGGGGAAAAAATGAAGGACAGCCTTGCTTGGCGACCCCCGTGAAATGGTCGTTCAACCCCAAATGGGGTCCCGACCCACAGGTTGAGAACCACTGTCCTGGAGGATCATCAACCCTTCTCCCCAATCTTGGTGTTGAAGCTGATGCAAAAGGCAAAAACCCTCCATCTTCACTCAATCAATATTAATAATGTATGCTATGTCTATTCTCTCCTCCATCACTAAGTCACAGAGGGGCAAGATCTAACAACTCGCAGATCTGTAAGTATTAAGTCAAATTTGAGGCCATGGCTTCTAGTATCTAAGGTCCCCCCAAAAAATCTGACAAGAACTAGGTAAAGAACGTTGTAAGCTGAGAAGCTCATGGCTTCTGCTCTGGCCTCAGTTGGTAATGTGTTACCAAGTGTTTTTTTTTTGTTGTTTTTTTTTTAAAGAGACCCTCTATTCCATTATAAACTACAGTAGTATAAAGAAAAATAAGAGAAACAACCCATCTATCATACATTGCTCCCAAGTGCATGGCATAGTTGTCTCATTCATAAAATATGTATCCATGGCATAGTTACTTGTACCATGGCTTATACAATTAACTGGATTTTCCAGGTATTCGCACAACACTGAAAATGCAGCTAGCCAAATTGAATTCCATTGTTGCTAGTTTAAGGCAATTGATGTACATTAAAGAGCAACAGCTGACAGAAATAACCCCAAGCTAATTTATAGCTAGATTTAGTTAGATACCGCTCTTTCATTTCAGTAATAGATCTCTTCCCATCTGCAGCTTGATCAACAAAATAAAATGCTGAGCATTTTCACAGAGGCAGCTGCTACTAATTTATGTTTTAACAAGAAGCAGCGAGACTGATACCTTCACATTAATAAATGAATTACATCATAGGCTTTTGCAGAATTGAACATATTCCACAAGATTCATATACCACTTGTATATGCATTACTAGAAAGTGGGTACTAAATAAAAAATGCAGAAAGGAAATATAATAACCATTAAAGATAAAAATGTATGACAGTCATAGTTAGAGCCTGAATACATTCAGAATAGTATTCAGACCTCCAGAATAGCAGTAACATTTTGCAATAATCAATGTATCGGTATTAGAACTGCTGACTCAGACCTAGGTTCCAATGAATTAAGTGGGATTTACTTTCAGATGAATGTGTAGAAAAAGGGCAGCTTTATTTAATTAGATACTATCCAACTAGGCCTGTCTTTTGATGACTGAAAGAACAAATGCCCTTCATTTTGATCTGTTTTTAGAAACATATAGTTTAAGAGATGGTTCTCACACTAATGTGGCTAGCAGCTATGATGTAAATTAGAGTTCCCCAACCTTTCTGACTTTGCGGATTGGCTGAGGGTGGGGGAGAGGAAATAGCTCTGCGTGAGTGACAGGCAAGTGTGCATGCATGTACAAATGGAGTGTGCATGCGCTCGCCCGCTGCTCGCACAAGTGGGGATATGCATGCATGCCCTCACCCACCACTTCCACAGCCTGGTTCCAAATGGCTCAAGGCCCGGTAGTGGGCCAGGGCCCAGGGGTTGGGGACCCCCAATGTAAACAACACCAAGAAGCACAATAGTTTAGTTTATCAAAAAGTGCAGGAGAAATAAAACCATAAACTTAAAACTTTGAACTCTCTGTATATAATTGAATTCAACCTTTTTAAAATTTAAAATTTTAAAATTTGGAGATAATTGCTCCTGGCGTATTCTTCTCTGATTCTGTTTAATAAACACATAAAAGTATGAAGAGCCACAAACAAATCAATATTTCTTTAAACTACTATCTTATGGGCTCTACTTCTATAGTTATTTCTTTTGGCAGTAATATACTTAATCAATCTGAAGCTTCCAAACACTGAAGCTTATTAATCTTCCATTCAGTGATACCTTTAAAAGCATGAAAAAGATCAGCAGATGGACAAATCTCACCTTCATTTTCAACAAACTATTGTTGAAATTGCTATCCATATTATATATTATATTATCATATTATCCAGGAATTAAAAAGTTCAAAGGAATAAATCAACATCTAATCTAATACAAATAATATTAATAATGTAAAATCAATATTTTAGAACATTTTTAGAAAATCCATATTTTAATTCAGGAAAGGGTTCTAATTTATATAATGGAATGGGCCAGTTTTTAGAGGCAGGTGAACTTAGGACAAGGGTAGGCAACCTTGGCTCTTTTATGACTTGTGGACTTCAACTCCCAGAATTCCTGAGCCAGCCATGCTGGCTCAGGAATTCTGGGAGTTGAAGTCCACAAGTCATAAAAGAGCCAAGGTTGTCTACCCCTGAATTAGGATATTGGCGGGGAAGGATGTCAAGGATGCTGATAAGAGCTCTAGTATGTCTCTTCTTAAGAAGGCCCAAGCAAGTACTGTATTGTTCTGTCTCCAACCTCCACTTTTGTAAGAAGTTTATTGAAAAGGTGGTGGGGCTTCAACTACACAGAACTATGGAAAAGATTATCTGGACCCTTTTCAGTCAGAAGTTACATCCAGGCAGGGGATGGAACTGATTACTTTTGTCAGTGAATATTGATGAGACTTGGACAGGGTAATGCAACGTTCCTCATCTTGCTGGTTCTCTCAATGGCCTTTATTACTGTCAACCATGATATCCTAATCTAAACCATCTGCAAGAGCTGGGGTTGCAGGCACCATTCTGCAGAATGTTGTTCTGTTCTTTTATAAGAGGGAAATTCCATTTGATGCATGGGGGAGATGGGTGGTCAAGCCCTCAGGCACTGTAGTATGAAATGTCCAGGAGCTTTGACCCCCTCCTTCATTTTATTTAATATCTACATGAAAACTCTGGGAGAATATATATTTTGAAAGTTTGATGTATACAATGCATTATTTTTCATAATCAGATGATATCCAATGCTACGACTGTACCTTAGACTGAATAGCAAATAGTGAAAGTCTTGATCCAGTGTATGGAGGCTAGAAGGGGATTGGAAGAACAAGTTAAAATTTAACCCAAATAAGGCAGGGTAGCTATTAAAATAGAAACTGAGATGCTGCATTTCCAGCATTAACTCTTAATGGAACTATGCTTCTCAAAAAGGATCTGATACATATTCTGAGGATTCTTCTGGACTCACAGCTCCTGCTCTATCAGCAGATAGAAGCTGTGAACAGGAAAGTCATTGCCCAATTTTGGCTGATGTACCAGTTATGTGTGTTCCTGAAACAGGAGGCATTGACAATAGTCATTCATTTCCTCACCACCTTCCAACCAGACTATTTAAGTCAATCTACATAGGCCTCCCTTGAAGAGCACTTAGAAGCCACTGTTAGCACAGAATGCACACTAACGGAAGTGCTTTAATACTCCCATACGGCACCTATACTGAGAGAGCTACAGTCGCTGCCAGTTTGATATTAGGTACATTTCCAGGTGTGGTAATAATTTATAAAACTGTGCATGGCTTGGCTATTCATAAGATCATTTGGTCTAAACAGAATCTGTCTGCCTAAGATCTGCAAGTAGATAGTACATGTTAAGAGCCCCCAGAGGTATATGGGTGGAGGTGAGCATTCTCTGCCAAAGCCTTTTTCCTGTGGCACCAGCTATGCTCTTTGCACAGCATCCTCCCTATTAACATCTGGAAAACTGCTGAAGACCAGGTTGTTTAAGCAGGCACGCAGTGACTGTTGATGCACCAAAGTCTCACCTAAGATATGTATCAGTGCTGCTTGTTACGATTTTTGTGTTTGTTATAGTTGTGGTCATATTATGATATTTATAGTTATTTTTTATATTTTTCTCAGTTGTTGGATAATATTAGCTTAGATTCACTTGAAGGGTAATACAGGATGAAGCATCTATAAAATAAGAATAAAATGGCATTTAAATGTTTTTGCTAAAACTATTGTGTCTGAAAAGTGTGGCAAATGTAACTTTTGTATTATTGTTCTTAAAAACAATAATGTGGCTAATGTTTAATTAATGGATAAGAATTTAATCAGCATTCATTGTGCTCCTGAATTAACAACTTAAAAATGTCTTAATCCAACAACATTGCTGTCTGAATCCACAATCCTCTCTTCTATCCCTAATCTCAGAATTTGAATAGCTGCCTGGCAGTAAGTGCCACAGCACAAACTAAACAGAAAGGCTCTCTTCCAAACAACCCCTTTGTGTTCATAAGTTAATGATATTCAGTTGGCAACATCTTCTTAACATATGAAAACCTAACTTCACTGAAAACAATGCTGCCACTCTCTGAAACCAGAACAAATGTTTTAAAGTTCATTTTTGCTAAAGTAAATACTTCAAATATTCTGGAGTAAAATTCTTACTAAATTCCATCTAATCCGAAATTATAAAATTTATAATCTAAAATGTATACCTTCATTGCTTATTCTTGTGGCCTCGTCTTATTTTTCTCCTCTGGTAAATTTGCAAGGACAACAGAGTTTTTAATTCCACTTTTAAACTAACGAAACTTTTCCATTATATTTAAGCTCAGTCACATGTATTTACCTTAGACTACTATTTATTAAAGTAAGCCAGATAAAATGATGATTCATAATTCTGTCTTGTTCATTGGTCATAGCTTAAATCAGGAGTGGTCAACTAGTTACTTCCAAGAGCTATTCAGCTTCATGCCACTTAAATTTGGAGAGAAAAAGTACTGTCAGCACTTCTTTTTTTTATTATTTCAACTTTAAAGTAAATATAATCAGTCTGGGAGATCTCAGCACCTAGTCAACCTTGTAAGATCTCAGATCAACATTTTCTATGCACATTTTTGTTCGCTGAAAATGATTTCTATGCTGCTTAGCAGATTTTTTTTTTTTTAAATCAGCCTCAGAATAGAGCCATGAATGGTTGGGAGAACCCTCCCAATCGGAAGGAGGGCTAAAACAGGGAATTAGTCTGGACTTACTACATAAATCCAAGAGGGCACGATATGACCTCTCCCAAATACCTCTGAGCAGTGATGGCGAACCTTTTAGAGACCGAGTGCCCAAACTACAACCCAAAACCCACTTATTTATTGCAAAGTGCCAGGGCCGCATCAGCATTGTGGTGCCCTCGGGGGGGGGCAGGGAGGCACCTCTGAGTGCCGCCTCTGGCACGCAAAGACCGGGGGAACAAAAATGGGCCACCATGCTGCAAGGCGCATAAACAGCTGCTGCCACGCTGCAGAGTGCAGATACAAGGCGCTGTACCACGTAAGAATGGGGCAGGGCTAGTATCACGCAGGCAATAGCCCCTCCCCATTTGCAGTACGTGCATGCTTGTGGCCCCGTGCACGCATGCATGCATGTAAAATGCTTCCCCCTCCCTTTTCTTCCAATCGACAATTGTTGGTGACCTCTGCTCTACCACCTCTACTGGAGCTTGCTAGTCGGCTGCTTCGCCTTTGTGCTGGCTGGGGCTCCTGCTCCGGGGGGCGGGGGCAGCCTGATGGACCTGCTGCTGAGTGCCACCTCTGGCACGTGTGCCATAGGTTCACCACAACTGCCTTTGAGCCTTATCTAGTTTTTCCCAGGTGAAAGCTGCCAGTTTGGGGAGATTCCTGTATTATAGGCAGAGAACAATAAAGCAGCTAATTTGAACCCCACATGTATGGGTCTGGTTGTTCACACCTGAATGAACAAAGTTGTCCAACTTTATAGAAATCAGGCTATGAAACAGGAATTTTGCTCTGGAGTTCACAAGTTGTCCTCACTTGAACTTGATTCCGAATCTAAATCCATCTGCTTATTTTTCCTGATCTATTCACCATCCCCTCTATAATGATAAAGGCTTTAAACTTCATAATTCCAGAATGCAATATAATGCCTTTTGTTTTCACCTCACAAGCAAAACATATGTAATATCTTCCACTTCTGTACTAGATGTGGAAACAAATTCAGGAAAGCTTATATTTAATTTCTGTCATGTTATTAAGCTCTCAATAAGTTATTCTTTGAGGGAGATGGGTTCAGACACGTGAAAAATAAATGAAACAGTATCATAGATCTTTAAATGTCACAAAAAAAGACAACTAGCAGGTTCTAGGTGAGATTTTTCACAGTCCTAAGTCCATTAATAGTTTATTAATTACAACAAAATGCTGAGCAAATATGAATAAATGAAAAAAAAAGAAATATCATTGAGAAGAATCAGTTTCATGTACAGTATGTCCCATAAATACACTGCACATACCTCTGGCAGAATGAACTGTTCTACAGGTTTGTACCAAAGTTTGTTCACTTGCACTCCACAACTAGGTGGACTAAAACGAGCGCTGAAGAGTGCCTCCTATGGAAATAATAAGTAACCCATTTGTTAGCCAGGAAAACCATTCATGAAAAATCACATCTTCTTGGCCAGTTCATGAAAAAAAAAACATAACTGGATCTTAAAACAAAGCAAAACACTTTTATGTATGATGCAATTTTAATAAATTCAAGCCTCTAAGTATCTTACTCCTAACAGATACAAAAATGCTACTATGTTGTTGCAAACAGAGACATGCTTTAAGAAGTTTCTTATGTTTTAGAGACTGTGACAAAACTTTATGGTTATAGTCAATTTCTCTCACACTGAAATGAATCATTGTCAAAACAAAAATAAGTTAGATATTTTGACCTACCTAACAATCATAAATGTAAACTTTGGAAGTTTATATGTCTATATAAAGAGTGCATTAATGCAGAGGTCCCCAAGCCCCGGTCCGTGGACCAGTACCGGATCACGGCATGCCAGTAACCGGTCCACACAAACAAGCAAAGCCCCATCGTGAGATGCAGGCAGCACATAAAACCACACACCCTCCAGTCCGAAGAAAAACCTCTTTCCACGGAACCGGTCCCTGGTGCCCAAAAGGTTGGGGACCTCTGCCTTAATGCACCTCTGAATTAAATTATATTTTTAATTACCAGTAGTAATTCAATGTTACACAACCTAAATATTAACTTTAAATGGTCAAACTTGTGGATGGTCTTGTCTAAAACCAGTCATTTTAGAATTATCTTAATCCATCTTTAATCTCTTTAAAACTAGCATATTCTAGCATATGCAGAAGAATCTGCTATTATTTGTCCTAGAGAATAAGCAGACAGCTCACACAGCTCAGAAGAAGACTATCACTTTTTACAGCAGTGGTTCTCAACCTTTCTAATGCCGCGACCCCATAATACAGTTCCCATGTTGTGGTGACCCCCAACCACTTATACATCACTGGGTGCCAGGGGTGTGGCCAAAGAAAAGGGGGAAAAATGGTGGACAGCCTTGTTTGGCGACCCCCGTGAAATGGTCGTTCGACCCCAAATGGGGTCCCGACCCACAGGTTGAGAACCACTGTTTTACAGTATCCAAGTTACAACATAAAAGAAAATTCTCTAGAGGATGCTATGCACTTCTTTGCAAAGGGCCAGGCATTTGCCCCAAGACAGCAAACATATTAATCTATGGAAATATGACCACAGTGAATTAACATTTCAGAGCCATAGAGAAAAATATATCAGTGATAAAACCAATTCTCACATCACCCATATCCCTTCCCTGTGTTACACAGTAAACATCATTTAGCATTCAAATACAATACTTTTCTTCATATTAAATCAAAGTTTTATTGTACTTGAATGCTAAATAATGTTTACTATGTAACACAGCCAAGGGATATGTATAAAATATTTAAAATCTTATCAAACAGTCAGCCAGATTTCTTTGTATTCATGAACATCTAAATATAAGCCTACCTATAATGCCCTCTAAAACTGCTAATTGCAACAATGGTGTATTTTTGAAAGCAATTCTGAGATTAAATTCTATGAGAACCTTCCTTAAGCTTAAAGTTTCTACCTGTCCCCTCAAATATTTGCTTTAAAATGTATTAGCAGAATGCTGACCACAAGACTGAACTTTGATTCACAATGGACTTCTGAAAAGCCATTCAGCAGAATTAATCTGCTACAGCAATGGGTTGATGGAAGCAGAGCTGAGAAAACGGTAAAGAATTTCTGCCTTTAATAACTACTGCAAGGCAAGGGAGTTTATTTAGTATTCATATTGTGGCTGCAATGCTTTACATATCTACTTAGTGGTAAGCCCACTGAGCTTTGTTGGATTTACTTTCAAAGAGGCTACAAGACCACATTGCTGCTGTATTTAGATTTCATTTTATAATGTGCAAACCTTTGAGATGCAGTTTACAAAAATCCAATAAACAAAGCCACCCATTCAAAGAACACTAGGAAAATAACAACACTCTTCTACACTTAGTGCAGATGTAAAACAAGGTGACTGAAACCCATGCAGTCTCCAGTTTCCCTTTCCCATTGTTTCGGTTAGAAATTCTTGACAAACTGTGGCTCAAGAGCTGAAAACTTAATTTTATTGTTTGCTTTAAAGCTTAAATGTTTTTGGTTTTTTTTCTGGTCTGTGATCTTCCTTAAAGTGGCATGAGTTTCTTTACTGCAGTAGAGAATGAAGACTTCAAAAAATTAGGACATAACTACAGTCCCTATCATATTGCCATATCCAGGATTTCTAAATGCTCACAGAATATATATAACACACGAAACTGATTACTTGTCCTTCACTTACCCACTCCCCTCCCATTATTCCCACTTATTCTGTTTTACTAGCTACTTCTGATTGTCCCAATTAAAACAATGATTAAGAAACGCAATAGTCAAACTGATTGCAGATAGCACTGCCAGTCATTTTGCCTGTTCATTCCTCATTGGGTATCTGTCAACTCTCTCTCTAATAATCCCCTGCTTAGTTCTACCACCTAATGAGATTGTGGATCTGGTCCATTCTATAAGAGAATTACAAGGACAGGGCATACCTCTTGCTCTGCTTGGTACAGTTTCACTGTAATGTTTCTCTGGAATCCAACACCCTTCGCATCGTAGAACACCCCAAGACTGGTGATGACAATTGGATAAAGGACTTTGAAATGCACGCTGACCACTCGGTCTTCTGAAAACACCGAAGTATCATCCTCTGGCAAAGTGAAGGCTTCAATTTCTTGATTCAAAACTAATGAAAAAAATTAAGAAAGCGGGCAAAACAAGCTCATCTAAAATAAGAAGAAAGCAGTCAAGACTCAGTAACTCTTTCAGGTACTCTTGTTTTACCATAAAAGGAAAATTTCTCTATTACCATCTAGAGCAAGTGCAGTGCTTAAATGCATTTACACCTTAAATCCTTAACATATTCATTTGAAACTATATCCTATTTACTTCAAGCATTGTTGAAAATTAACATGGATAAGTGGGATTGTAGCTTATTTTCTGGCTCACTACAATGAAAAGAAAGATTGAGGGCAATAGAAGAAGGGGACGACAGAGAATGAGATGGCTGGATGGAGTCACTGAAGCAGTAGGTGTGAACTTAAATGGACTCCAGAAGATGGTAGAGGACAGGAAGACCTGGAGGAACATTGTCCATGGGGTCACGATGGGTCGGACACGACTTCGCAATTAACAACAACAATGAAAAGGTAATTGCAGTTTGCTAACTATCACAACTACTTGAAAATATCAAGAGCTCCTATTTAAATTCTAACTATACTTTCGTGGGTAAGAAATTGTAGCAGCTACAATATTTTGTATGACTGATTATAGGAATGTCATACAGTATACCTCTTTTTCTCTCCCCAAACCTTCAGTTCTTACCTGGATTAGAGATATTTAGAAGTTTGCATGAATAGGGATCTTCTCTATCTTCTACTGGCACATGACATCCATGGGTACCAATTATAAACTTCACAAGGACACTAAAACAAAATTAACAACATTTATTTTTTCTTCTATTTGCCCAATTCTGCTACCTTTTTTTCAAACAATACACACACATGCACACACACATGTATTTATGTATGTATGGAAAATTCTTGTTATACAGGCTAATTCTGGGAATTTCGTTGAAACTATTCAAAGATAAGATATCCTTTATTGTCATTTTTCTACTGTGGGCACACTGGCACACATTAAAAATGAAATTCTGTTGCCTGCTCTCAAAAGTGTACACATACATAACACACATATAAACATGCTATATACAACATTTGTATATAACTACACCCTTACATATAAGTAACATATTAATATTAATCACTGTCCATCTTGAATATATAACGGAAGGAGGAAGCTTGAAAGTTCACAAGGTTAATACTGTATGGAACAAAACTGTGACTGAATCTGGATGTTCTGCTTTGGATATTACGGAGCCTCCTCTCAGAAGGTAACAAGAAGAACAAGTTGTGAAACTATTAAGAAAAACAAGATTTTTCTTGATAAGAACATATAGGAAAGGCTATGTCAGAATTCTGTTTAATATAAGTTTTGGGCTCTTATTCAAATGATGCCAAGGATATCTTGAAATAATTCATTTAAACCAATGAGAATCTATAAATCTTCTTGAATGAAGGCAATAAGAATGGGGAATTACCGATGGCTTAATGTTGGGTGCTGCTTCAAATGCCTAAACCAAGTATTCCTTATAGCATTCCGTAGTCCATCATTGTGTCGTGCAGAAAGTATCCCTACAATAACATCATAATGTTTTGGTTTCCAATGAGGAAAGAAAGCCAGTAGACCTAAGAAGTAAAAATTAAAAATACTTTAGCAGACAAATAAGTAAACGAGTATGCAGATCAATATTATAAAAAAGCCATTTTTCAATTATTTGTAAACATTTTAGCCAAACCCATATAAAATTAGAAGAAAGATTTTAGAAGAAAATATGTACTTAAATTTAGAAAAGGATACTGGAAATAGTTTTACATATCCTGATAACTGAAAAATTAACACAAAGAATTGAATATGAACATATATGAAAACAGAATATGAATGTGTGTGTGATTCCTACATTACAAAATAATGTATTATCTTCCTTAAAAGATTAATATTTATTTACTGTATTTTAACACAAACAGATCTAAGAATTAGATGGTAAAACAGATACAGCTTAGATGTAATGAAATGATTCTAAAAATGAGAAGCTAAGTGTTAATACAAAACAACTGTTAATCAAGGAGCAGAATATGAGCAATATCCATGAACCATAAATATTTGAGGAAGATAAGAAACAAAGCTTTCCATTTATTACTAAATTATATTTCCCTGTACAGTAGCTTTATCTGGCAATGCCAGTGGTGAGGAATGCTAAATTCCAAAGCATCTGGTGAGCCACAGGTTCCCACCTGCAGATATACACTATATTCAGATATACATATCTATACCCATCTATCATTAAATACAGTGATTTAGTTTCAATATTATGGTTTCATAAGTCCAGTAAACAAGACAAGTAATTTACATTCCATCATGGATGACAGCATGTATTCATGGTTTATTTTTAATAAATTATTATACAATGGATATATTCAGATTTATATTTAGCCCTGGCAAAAAATCAGTTTCATCTCATTCTGCTTAATTTGAGAATAAAAAGAATTAAGTGTCAAATCAACTAAATGCCAACTCTGTTTAGAAAAATGACTGCACATAATGTACAAGATATCATTTCAGAGTTTTAATTTTAGTGCAAACTCCAAAACAATCAACAAATTGTGTGTTCCAGATCTAGTATGGATGTTCCCAGATCTTGATGATCTTCCAACTATCTCTGTCCTTTAATATTGTACATTTACGAAGATTATCATTGCTGTCCTTTTTTTAATTAAGAAAAAATGGTGGAAAACACAATTGGATTTCTTTTAACTAATATTTTATCATTGAAACAAAAAGAAATTATTTGCTGATAAGGTGAAAACCAATGTACAATATGAGTAAGAAGATATGTAGTCTAAATTAGTGCCATACACATTTAAAAGTGTTTTCCTTGAGAGCAGCTATGTTAACTGAAATTGCTCGCACTTTACAATTTTTCTTTGTTCATCAGTGAGAATTCCATCATCCCCAGCAAGACTGATCAATTACTTTTTCATCGTAATATATATTTCCATGGGTATATTACATAAAAAGAGAAAACAGAGTTCAACAAAATCAGTATGAAGAATATAAAATGTATAAAAATAGCATTTACTTAGATTTAATTACCTAAGACAAAAAAAATTACATTTTCTATAAATCAATTATTTAAATCTAAAATGTGTGAAGGAACAGAAATAACTCCATGATGCACTCAAAACCATGTGGCGACCAGACAAGCCTTTCTGAACAGAACAATTCATGGACAAAATGAAAACAGCTAAAAAGATCACCCATTCTCTTATAGTCATTCATTTAACTTTATTCAACAAAGGTATTTTTTTAAATAAGAAATCCTAAAGATATAAGTATACATGAGAAAATAATTCCTCCAGACACACTGCCCCCTAATTATTTGGGCTTTAATAGCAATAGTCATGTTTTGAAATGCACCCACAAAGAGAATGGAACATAGTGTAACTTATGAAGGGAAAAACTTGGCAGATGAATTTCTCACTAAATGCACATCTAACTTTCTAGACTGAACTTTGGTCTCTGTCCAGGCCATTACTCAGCTGGACACTGATTCAGGACATTCACTGTCTCCATTTGAATGAGGTGAAATTATGAAAATAACTGAACCTCAGCTGTATGTTGATGACCTCTTAGTCTACATCCTCAGATAATCTCTGCAACAGTTACATGAAGAAGTAATAAAACATGTGAGAAAAAACAGATATCTAGAAAACCCTTTAATATTACTGCTCTGCTATAAGGTAATCCTTCAGGACTATTATATCAAATTAGACACCTGAACAGAAGCAGAATCATCCAAAAAAATTATATTTGTAACTCAGATGCCCATTTCAAAAATAGACTGTGACTGATGACAGGAAAGCTACTGAGAGATTCAAGAGAGGTAAAAGAGTTCTGTCTCTTTATTGATAAATGCCATCCCTGGGGAAATCATGGCTGTTTCTGACTCAAAACTGCACTTAAATCTGGGTTGAAATAGATCCTGAGAATCAACGTCATCCAAAACTGCATGGAGTTGAATGTTAATTATATGAGCATCTTGCTTATGCGCCTGCTGTTGGAAGAAAGGAGACAGATATTGTTGCTGTAGCTATGAGAACATTAAATGGAAAATCCCTGAATCCCTGAGAAACCCATTACCAAAAAGAGGGCTGTTTTCTAGAGTTGGGGAGAAAATCAGAGATCATCATGATTCTGTGTGTGGTCAAAAGAAAGGTACAAATCCAGTAACTAACCAAAATCCACAGATGGTAATATATAGCTATTTTTATGTAAGAATTTGTTTTGGGTTCATTTTTTAGAAATTAATCTAAATAATTAATCTAAATAATATCACACACAACTATAGTTTATTCACTATGATTTAAAACACTAATCAGATGAGCCTGCACTGCTATTAAGCCATAAGGCTAATTCATATAACTTCCTAAATCAAAATTGAATAAAATATATTATTGGTACATAATGAGCAAGTACAGCTGCAAGTCCTACACTTGTGTTTTAGCACTGAACACAAGGTATCTCTTTTTGATGAACAATATGGTTTTTTTCATCATCTGGGATATTTGAAAAATGTCTGAGAAGACTTTAATCAGATGTGGCAAATAATAGCTCATGATGCTCAATCACAGAAGCTCTGTCTGTAAACCTTAGTTCCTTAGATTATCTATTTTTCTAGAGGCACTTTTAAAAAAAGAGAGAGAGAGAGAATATACAAGTCTTCCAAAACAGATTCAGAGATCAATAAGCATTTCTGCGCTTCTAAGAGAAGAAAATAATTACATCAGTGTTTATAATATAATACAGTTATGTTTACTGCAACTATAAGTTTAAATCTTATACAAAACGCTTTTTAAGTGTTACATGGCTATAGAACACACAAGATGCCATACATAGTTACATGGACATCGAGCAAGAAATCATGAGACATTGCACAAACGAATATGGTTCTAGTTCTACTTCCAGGGTAATGGTAGAAGGCAGGAAGCTAATAAAAAATATAGACCTCCATGAACACGTTGAAGTTTTCTGTTACAGCTTATTAAATAGAAGCATGAGGGAATTGAAGTCAAATTCCTCAAACCACTTATGAAGCAAATATAATGAATAATTAAGATCTAGCTACCTTTTCAAACTAAAATATTGCTTGATTACAACAAGATCTTTAAAAGATATTGGCCAAAATAACAGGAAACAGATTGTATTTACTCAATAGGAAAATAAAGTTTTCTCCCATATAATATCTATGAATTGGGGGGGGGGATATAAACTTAGTGTCAACTCCACAATGAACCTGGCTGCAGCCATTTTCTTCGTTTTAAGTTGCCACTAGATTGGAAGGGGGATGGAGGATTTCTACTAGTCTAAACATTTTTACTGTCCCGTGGGAACCAAGGTCATTTCTGTCAGATAGGGGCGGGAACATTTATTTAGAAAGCCCACCAAGCTCTTATATTGGGGAACATGGCTAATTACATAGTACTGGGGTGGAAAGTTTAACTTTGTAATATTGTTGCTCTCTGAAGGAATCTTCAGACTTGATTTCATCTTTGACTGTGCATATACTATGTAACCAATAAACATGTTCTTTGAGGAAATCTCAAGCCTCAGAGTTTTGATTTATTTGGTCTTGTCTATCAGAACCTTGACACTTAGCTGATAAAAATAGAACTTCTATTTTTCTCCCTTCTTTCCTTTTACAAAGATGATGATCTTTGTTATTCTTCTTCTTCTTTGGCTATTTTTCTCAAAGAAGACAGTACTTTGAGAAATTTATGGGTGCAAAAGAGAATGGTTGATATACATTTATAAGGATCACTTAATTTTTAAAATGCGGCTTTTTATTTTACAGGTAATTAAATAATTTTTTAAGCAATGTGTTTTTTTGTTCTGGCCTTGCCCTTTTTTCTGGTATGAGGCTTCTGGCTAATACACACCCACACACAAGAGATATGCACACTTCAAAATGATTTGAAAGAAGAGTTAGGGGACTGCAAACAAAGCCACTTTTTAAAACAGCCATATATTTTTATCAGGCTTGAATGACATTCTAACAGTTGAAGTTGTTGAGAAACACTGCTTTATAGGCATTATGATTTTAGGACTTAAATTATCTTTGATTTTAAAGACAAGGTCACTCATATATCACTGAAAAAAAATACAAAAAATTAAAGTCAGGCAAAAAGAATGCTCTAGCCTCAAAATGTGACTAATTATAACTTCTAGGATTGACAGAAGTCACCCACCACACTTAATTTCTTCTTCTATGAATAAAAATAAGACATTTTGTGTGTCTTTTTGTGTGACATTTACTAGGTCTCCTTTACCCCGATTCCAGACAACTACAAGTTTCTTCAAATTGTGTGTGTGTGTGTGTGTGTGTATGTATAAACAATTTTGAAATGAAACAAGTATTAGAACCTACTTCATCAAATGCATGAAATGTTAACCAGAAAAGCATACATGATTATATATGGTAATGGTGAATGAAATGACCGGAGTGGTGATAGATGCATAGTTACAAAAGACAGACGGACAGACAGGTAAAATCATTTTCAAATTCTGAAGCTTCCTTAGGGAAAAAATCATTGTAGTTGTTTACTGCTGTATAAAACATTAATGCATTAGTTGCATGATAAATTCTTCTATTGCTATTTCGTTTTCCTACAATGAATATGTCTCAAAAAATTGCAATCCAATGTGGATCAAAGCCTGACCTCTTGGGAACACCAGACCTATAGGTTATCCTGGGAAGTGGAAATAACATCCCAGAAAGCAATAAACATTCCCTTCCGGACAGCTGTCAAAAAAAACCCTGCATGAACGTACCCATGAAATCACCAGAAGCTAAGCTCTGACATGAAGGAAAGTCTATACGGAAAGCAATCTAATTTCTTTTTCTTTTTTTCTATTTCTCAACTTCTGCTCCATATTCTACAAAAGCAAAAATTATTCATATCTACTGGCAACTGTATCTAATTTGCAGTAGATTAGCAAGGATTTTTGACCTTAACTGTTTGAAGAATTGCAGTTATGCAAACATATGCCTCCAGCTGGTGGAACTAGTAAAAAAAAAAATCAAATACACTATCAAGCCCACTCTGTTCTTCAGCATCTGCCATTTCCCTCTTACTTTTATCATGCCTCTCTCCAATTGTTTGGGGGGACTGTATATCATAACCCTGCACCTTTTCTCCTACCTGGCGAAAGGGTATCTCCCCGGATCCAAGCCCGCTGCCCTCCAACTCCTAAGCCCTTTCCTCCACGAAAGACACCAACATACTCTTATTTCTCGCCTATTCCTCCAAGCAGCCTTGTTTGCTTAGAAGGGCTGCTGGCCACTGCCTTCCTCTCTACCGAGGTGAGGAGTTACTCCACCTCTCCTCGGCTTGCCCTCCAGAGCCCGGAGGGACTCTGCCCCACCGCTTGGCTGCAAGGTGGCGGAAACAGCGCTGCCCGCCTCCTCTACCTCATGCCCCGCTCTCCGAAACAGTAAGCCGACCGCCGGCATAGCGGCTCCGTCGCTTGGGCGCAAAGGAGGCCCTCTCGCAAGATGCCTCTTGCCCCAACGCCTCCCCTGCGGGAGGGCGGCAAGCGTGCAGGCTGGGTGGCTCGGCGCCTCCTCCGCCTCCTACCTGCCGGGTGTTGCTTCCCGGGGCCGCTGGCCGGGCAGCTGAGGAGGAGAAGCCAGAGGTGCAGCACGACCCCGACCGCACACGGGCAGAGAAGTACCAACCAATTTCGCATTGGCCGCCGGCCGCTGCACAGCCGTCGCGGCCTCTCTCGGAGCGGGGACAGTAAAGGTCTCCCCGCCCTCCCTCGCTCCGGCCGGCAGTACAGCACCAGAGACCCTCGCCGGCCCCTCCCGCGGCCGGCCCCAAGCCAGAGTCCCGCCCCTGACCAGGAAAGCGTGTGCGCAGAGCCGGGCCTCTGCACTACAATCCCCACAATGCCTCGCCGCGGAGCGGAAGCGGCTTGACCTTGGCGCGATCCGACAGCGCCCCCCTCTCTCTCGAGGATGCCTCTCCGGCACCTTGCATGAGGCGAAGGCTGGAGGTGAGCAAAGTAAATCGCCCTTCCAGACGATCTTAACTCTTGGTGGACTCCGTGGAAGGGAGAGAAGAAAGAGGAGGTAGGAAAAGGCCCGCGGGGTGTTTATAACCGCAGATTGTTTTTGTAACTCTTTTTTTTCCCCCTTCAAAAATAAGAGAGAGAATGAGAGTTTCTGAAGGTAAAAATAGGCACCCAGTAAGAAAACTTTTATTGACGACATCTGGCGTTTTCTTCAGAGCCTTTCCATTTTTACACTACCACCGCCCCCGCTTCAGTTGCTGGAATATGTGGAACAAATCTTTTTAAAACAAAATTTTCCAAATGAGTAGTTGCCGCGTCCACCTGTCACCACCTTGCTGAACGAGGTAGGATTGAACGGGAATGCCCAATCCTTTGGGAAATGGGACGTTTGTAAGAAGAACTGTCGTTTTCGTTTAAACAGGAAGAAATCAAGAACTTATTCCCGAGCCCCTTCATGAAGATGCCCTGCTTACCATTTTAAAGGAAATATCCTCACGGTATCACTTTCATCTCATAACCAGCCCACCAAAAGGAAACCTGAATGTGCCTGTAGTAAAGTTGTTCCAGTGTTAAAAAATAGCATCTTCCTTCTTCCTATAGGAGCCAAGTGATAAGAACAATCTATTGTCATTGATGATGTGGGTGATGACAAAATCAGGGATGGAATCTCCCCAGATCTTATTTGGTCACTTGAGGCTTCTCCCTCCAGTTCATGGCATGGCCCTCCATATCCATTTTGGCTTGGATTGTTGGGAAGACTGGACATCCAGCTTCTGCAAGGGCTTTAGGTAATGCCTGACCAAAGGGTTGGTCAGAAATTACAGATTCCTTATGTACATAGATGTTGCATTTATTTGGAATAACACTAGACCTCTTTTTTAAAAAAAAATGTGTTTAGAAGTTGATTGATAAAGTGCTAGACCTGACTTTTGAAAAAACGAGGTCAATTTAAGCTAGGAAAAGTCGAGTATTGCTCATTGGATGCTATTTGGCCCAAGTTCTAAGTTTTCTGCTGCTGCAGTGAACAAGGAATATTTTTATTACTTTTGTGGCAAGCAGTGGCATCATGTTGTGTAATACATGAGCTACTTCTGAGTACTATCAACCATGACATTTCACTGCCAACACTGCTATTGAAATGGGACAGAGAGTGCCCACAATGCTCCTTGCAACCCTCAGGTTGTCACATACCAAGTTGATATATAGAAAGGCTGGGATGTAGTTAATGAAAAATCTGCATTCCCTTTCAGCCCCAAAGGAGGACACAAAGTGAAATGGGAGAGAAATCACCTGTGTTCCTCTCAAACCTTCTATCACAAGTGACCTGTCACTAAAACTATTTCTGGACGTGAGTCTATTTTTCTTCTGGAAGACTGCTAAATTGATGTCATAAATAGCTGATATGTTTGTAGAATAGGGGAGAGCTATGGGACCAAGAACCCAACAGGGCTCTTTTTAAACACAAGTTTAGTAGTCTTCCAAGGGAACATTAACCCCATCTCCGGAAATAGCTTTTAGATCACCGATACAAAGAACTTGCTTGAGCACAATTCGGCACCTTGAAAAAGAAAGTGATGCAGATGGGCTGATAAGAAATCTTTACAGGGGAGGAAGAATTGAAATTCTCTTATTTGCCAAATACTTATGAGGAGGTATATGAGGATTTTTGTGCTGGAAAAGTGTGGCTTCTGAAAGCTATAAAAGATATGGCCACTGATGGTATTACATCATAAGAGTTATATTTTTTAGCTGATTGGAATCTGGAAGCTCATTAAAGAGTAAATAGAGTGTCTGAAGTCCTTAAGTTTGTCTTAAGTTGGTTCAAGAAATGGGGGGAAAATGTACCACAGAAAATCAATGGAGTTATCACTAAATTTTTGAAAAATAGCTATGAGCTATTAGCTGGAAGTTGCCAATCCCTGTTTAGAACTTGTTTAATTTTTTGCATATAAGTGGCATTTATTTTATTGTGATGGATTTGCATTTTATTCATTTGGAATAATTTCTAAAAGATTTCATGTATTATGATGTGACGAAGAAATATAAATCAATCAAAATAAACATTTGAATTAAGGCTGGTACCAGTTGTTTTTATAGCCTGATGTTTTTGCTGTCTCTCTACCTCCACTACACTATCAGATGTTATTTCCAAAATCTGCAGAAAATAAACCCCTTTTTATTGATATCAAAAGCATGGGGATTTATTTACATGAGGAATTCCTCTACAATTTATTAATACAGAACAAAACATAATATTTATGGTCAGCTGCATCTTAACTATCCAAGGGGAACTCAGTCAATAATATTCCCCACTACATTCATTCACCTTCACATTTAATACATCTGTTATCAAGGGCATATAAATTTTCTTCAGCTGATGTGTATAAAGAGCAAATGATCATAATAAAAAATAACATTCTGCAAGGAGTTAAATATATAAATGATTATACACTTAGCTGCTTATTACTGAATCCTGAGGTCCTAATGGAATTACCTAATGGATTTTCGGATCATATACATAATTATTATTTCTTTATCCAGCAGATGGCAGCAATAGCTTATAAATTATCCAAGAAAGATTTTGATAGCTGTAGAATCCTTTTTAGATAATATTCCTCACCAAATATTCCTCCATCAATAAATCACCAAACATGAAGTAAATACATATTAGTCTGCAGCAGAAATTTTATCTTGCATTTTTATGTAGCTACTGAGACTAGACAATTGTATCATCATTGATTCCTTTCACTTGAAGTGCATAGGGCAGCAAACTTCTTCCAACTATATACTTCAGCCAAAATAAATTAGCTTTAAAATGATGATTCAATATAAAACCAAAGTAATGAAACAGGAAAGTATGATTTGCAAACTGATGAATGCTTAGTTCATATGGCATTGGTATAATCAAGGATATTAGATGAATGTAGGATTGTTAGTTTAGTTTTTAATATGTAATTTGATTAGTTTTGTAATTATATCTACCATACTCGATGTCCTATCCCAAATTCTTGCTTTTTATCTGCAAATCAACTGTTGTATTTTAATACTGGAAACTATTTAAAGCTCAGCCCAGCTTCTCCAGATAGTAGTACATGGCCTTCTCTGTCAGAAAGCAGACAGCAAAAGTAGATAGCAAAGAAATCTTAAAGGCTATTTGCTAAGCTTTTTGAGAATCAAATTTCAGGTCTGCAGAATTTCTGATGCCAATTTAGATACTCTCGGTGAGGACTGGATTAAGAAGACAGTTGAACTAGATTTAGAGGCGAAAATCAGTTGCAGAGAGCCATGGGTGTTAACAAACTGCCTAAAAGTACTACTTGCCCATTTTCTGTTTTCTGTCCCATTACAAAGGTCAGAACAAAACTGGTTGATTGAATGCAGGTACTTTTAAATGAACAAATCTTTAGTATTAGTTTGTTAAAAGTTAAAAATTTTGAAAAGAAAACAATCTATTCTAAATAAGGTTTTCTATTATCAGTTGATTTGACCTTTTGGCTCAAGGTTTTGAACAAAAAATACCAACGCAATTCCAATTATTTGGAGTTTAGCTCCATTTCAAACTGTTTTCCATTCTGGTATTGATAGAAGAAAATATGTGGAAGTGTAGCCATTTAATTTGCCACATTTTGACAACTGATCACAGTATCCTTCTCAAGAAGCTTCTAGAAATGGGGAGTAGGATCACTGTTTTATAACTAATTTAAACTGGATTTGGCATTTTTGTCCATCTATTCAATCCTCCCCAAGAACTTGAGAAAGGAAGTGTTGCCATTTAATAATACTATAGAAATATAATAACATTAGAGAGACAGTTTGGCACCAGGCTAGAAAACGGGAGACCATGAGTTCTAGTCCTGCCTTAGCCATGAAAGATGGTGACCTTGATGGTATTTCCAGCTCTGAATTTAAACTTTAAAATATTTTTCATTCTTCTGATGTGTTCACTATTAACCTTCTCTTGATTTCAGCATGCTTGATGTTGTCAGAATGAAGGAAGCCCAGGTATTTGTAATGATCTTCAACATCCAGACGCTTGGTGTTATTTCCATGAGGCAGGCATGTCAAACTCACGACATCATGTGATGTCGCGCAACATATCGGGACAGTTTTGCCATTGCCGGCAATGGGGTGGGTGCAGCTTCTGGATGATGCATCCGGCCCATGGGGTGGCAGTTTGACACCCCTGCCATAAGGCATCTTGATTCCTTCAATTTTCACTGTTTTTCTCCTGTTGATGGCAAGAGTAGCATATTTGTCCAGTTTAAACTCCTTTGAAGTATCTTGGCTGTATATGTTGAGCAGTAATTCTGCTTCAGGTAGTGTTTTTCCATACAGCTTCAGATTATCTATATAAAAGAAGTGGATAGCCTGGCATATGTTTTTGATATTTGATAATCATGGCCTGACCTGTTCAATATTGTTGACAGAGGCATCAATGCAATGACAAACAGTAGTGGCGATAGTGAGTCTCCTTGAAATATTCCTCTCTTGATATTAACCTATCCCAGTCTCTCACCATTGACTAGAACCTGTCTTGTCCATTGTGCCATTGATGTTTACACAAATTTTCTGATGTTTCTATTGATTCCTTTTATTTCTATGTACTTAATTATCCAGTTGTGTGGCAGGGAGTCAAATACCTTCCTGTAATCAATCCAAGCTACATTCAAATTGCTCTTCTCTTACAGTTTTCCAAAATCATCTTATCAATTAGGGGCTGATCTTATGGCTTTATGCTGTCTCCTTTCGGCTCAGATAGAAAGAACTTGTTTTCAACTAGATGCTGTTGTAGATACAATACCAGTTAGTAATTTGAAAGTTCTTGGTAAGCAGGTTGTTGTTATCATCACCACCACCACCACCACCATCATCATCTGTTTTTTTATTTATCTTCTAAAATTATCCCATAACTGAGTTAATATATTGGAATGCACTTTAATCATATTGTTTCTTATTTACATTGGGTAGGTAAGAGTATGAACATTGTGCTTACATTTTTGAAGGATAAACACTGGTTATATTGTCAATTTTCACTATGCCGGTTAGACTGCTATCATTTGGAAAAGCAGAAGTAAATATGTTGCCATGGAAACTGATGCAGCCTTGTTAAAATTAAATCAGTTATGATGTTCAAAGGGTTCCCTAGTTCCTGAGTATCGTATGAAGAAAGCAACTAATTTTTTTTGCTTTCCAAAACCATATTTAAATATCACCATTTTTGCTTAAATACAAGTATAGATTGAATACATAGTGGATGTAAAGAGATAGCTCTTCCAAATACATAGAGTTCTAGAAACTAGAGCTACTAGTAAAATAAGATTTTACTGTGGTGCTGAAACTTAAATGAAGAAGTAGTGTGGTTTTATTGTTATGCTAGGATTGATTATGGAAGGATGAATATGATGAAATACTAATAGTATATTATAGCCACTCTACTCCTTTATGCAGGTATTTGTATTTTATGATTTTCTCCAGTTGTCTTCTATTCTGCTGTCTTCAGATACTGCGCATCTACTAGCCAGACTTTTATTTTTTTGTCATTCTTACTGTAACAATTGCTATTATGGTTTGTTGCATAGTCAGCCAGATGTTTAGACTGGATTTGGCATTTTTAATCCACCTATCGAGTCCTTCCCAAAGACCTGGGATAAGCAGGTTGTTTCATGTTGTTAATGGTATCATCCCAGGATATAAGCTGTTCCAAATAAACCTGCTTTTTACAATTGACTGATGGTGAATTTGTCAATGCTGGAGATGTTCAAATGGTGCTCCAGTTGTTTGGGAATTGCACCCAAGGGACCTGTTACTGTTGGTACTATTTTTGCTTTCTTTTGCCACATTCTACTTCTCTTTGGAGGTCTTCATATTTTGTGGGTTTCTCCAGTTCTTTCTCTCCTGTTCTGCTGTCTCCAGGTTCTGCCATGTCCACTCTCCAGTGTCTTTTGTCTTTCTTATCATCAGTTGTTAGGTCTGCAGTGTTATGTGGCAAGTGCTTGTCTATTTGAATTCTAAGAGCACTTTAGTGTCTTCATTTTCTATTACTTTGTCAATTCTGTGGCCCCACCAGTTCTTGCTTGCAGGAAAATGGTATTTCTTGCAGATCTTCCAGTGCACCACTGTTGCTACATTGTCATGCCATTCTTTGCGGTCAGTCAATGCAATCTTCTTGCAGAATGAGTCTTCTTAAAGATTTCTCTCTTGATATTAACCTCTACCAGTTTATCACCATTGATCAGCAATTGTGTCTTCCATTATGCCATTGATCTTTGCCAAACCTTCTGATGTTTCTACTGACTCCTGTTATTGCTAGGCACTTGATTATGCAATCTTGGCAGTGAATTAATGGCGTTATCTGTGGTCAGTCTGTGCAATCTTCTTAATATGCCTTTAAAGCGGTGTTGACTCTGGACAGGTTTTTTCAGTTTCCTTGGCAGTATTTCAGAAGTTTCCACAATGGCTAGCCAGACCAATGGGAAGCCTAGTAACATGTTTACTTTTAAATGGCTTTCCATTGGTCTGGCTAGCCATTGTAAGAACAAAATATGAGATTAAGTAAGCCTTTAAGTTTGTTTGTTTATTCGTAAGCATCACAATTAAAATAAGGCATACTATATAACGTAACATTTAAAATATAAACCACAAGATTAAAATATGCACAAATTAAACAGTTCTTGCCCAGATCTTGATCTCTAGGTGACTTTGTATTATGGCTTGTGCATACACATCCTGCTCCCACAAATTTGGAACAGCTTTCGGTTTGCATTCCCTCCAACTTAAATCTCAGCCCAGTTTCTCCCCCCACCCTTAAAGAAGCCATTAGTCAACCCCGCTATTTTGGGCAATTTTTGACTTGCCTCTGACCTTTTTTCTACTAAAAATTGTTGAGGTTTCTGACTACAGTTGCAAATAACAATAAAAGTATTATTGCTTCCCCTCAGTTATGTTTCAGGCCTGGCCATAGGACCAAAACAGCACTGATTTTGCTTCTGGATGACCTCTGGCAAGAACAGGATGAAGGTAATGCATATATCCTGGTTGTCCCTGATCTCTCTATGGCTTTCAATGCCATTGAACATGCTGTTGTTCTGGATCAGTCCTGGGGGCTTTTAATTGGGGCAGAACTTTGCTTTGGCTATCTTCCTCCTTCTGGGGTCAGTTCTAATTGATGTTAATGAGAGAGGGGAAATTAAGCCCACATTCCCTTTTCCGTGGAGCTCTTCAGGATTCTCCTGTTTAACATATGCATGAAGCCATTGGATAAGGGCACCTGTCAGAATAGGTATAGTCCTATCTTGGGTTGTGGATTTTCTGTTTCTATGTCTGTGTGGGCTCCAACTCAACCAAGCAGGACTGAAAAATGCTTCTGGATTTTAGGGTATCCAAAATCCTGGACTTTAGATTTTCTGTCTATAGTTCTGGGCAGAGTTGGGTTTCCTCACACAGAACCAATGTAAAATTTGGGAGTTCTCCTAGACCAGGGGTAGGCAACCCAAAACACTCAAAGAGCCACTTGAACCCGTTTCCCACCAAAAACAAAACACCGGGAGCCGCAAAACCCTTTTGATATCTAAAATGAAGATAACACTGCATATATCCTTTTTTATCTTTATTATAGTGTGTGTGTGTGTGTGTGTGTGTGTGTGTGTGTGTGTGAGAGAGAGAGAGAGAGAGAGAGAGAGAGAGAGAGAGAGAGAGAGAGAGTGTATACACACACACACACACACACACACACACATTAAAAATAAAAGTAAAAATATGACTCTTGGGAATATCCATACTATTAAAACAATGATCACCGAGAGAATGCTTTAAGAGAATAAAATTACAAACACACACAGGTAAAAAAAGGATATATGCAGTGTTATCTTCATTTTAGATGTCAAAAGGGTCTCTCTCTCCCTCCCTCTCTATCTGCCCTTGGTCTGCCACTCCTCTTCCCCCACTCTCTTTCTTTCTCTCTTTCCTCTCTCTCTCCCTCTCTCTCTCTCTCTCTCTCTCTTTCTCTCTCTCTCTTTATCCCCCCCCCCATCTGCTGCTCACCTGGCAAGCTTCAAGTTGTTCTCCAACAATCTCAGGGGTAGGCAACCTCGTCTCTTTTATGACTCATGGACTTCAACTCCCAGAATTCCTGAGTCAGCCTAGCTGGGCTAGCTAGCTCTCTCCTGCCCTTCCTGCTTCCTGCAGAGACGCAGCAAAGGGAGGAGCTCCGCCCAGAAAGCTTTTCAGCTCCTCGGAGAACAATGTGAGTGCACTCTCTTTTACACACACACACACACACACACACAGAGAAGCAGGGAAGCGCAATTGCCTCTGTCTCTCTCTGCAAAGGCAGAGGAGGCTGGGAGCCACAGGGGAAGGCTCAAAGAGCCGCATGCGGCTCCGGAGCCGCAGGTTGCCGACCTGTGTCCTAGACTCATGGGGTTAGTGGTGGCTGGGGCCAAGTGGGCTTCTCCACAATTTCATGTCGTGCACTAATTGACCCCTTTGCTGGATCAGGAAGAGTTGTGCATGGTCACTCATGCTTCATTCATCTACCAAATGGATTAGAATGCAATGTAGTTTAAATGGTGCTGTCCTTTGTTCAAAGGAAAGTTACAATTGGCAGCATGAGCAATTATGGGCATCCTTTAGTACAGTGGTGGCGAACCTATGGCACGGGTGCCAGAGGCGGCACTCAGAGCCTCTCTGTGGGCATGCGTGCCGTCTCCCCAGTCCTAGGCCTTCAACTGGGTTTTATAAAACCTTTTCGCTTTAGGCCTCCGCCGCCGTGTGCAAAAAAAAAAAAAAAAAGTTCAATCAGTCAATTTCAACTTCTTGTGGGAAAAAAAAAGATCTTGCAAAGTTGGAATTGATTGATTGAACTTTTTAGTCCCACCCAGTCTGCCATTACTACTGCAGCCATGCCCACCCAATGGGCCATGCCCACCCAATGGGCCACACCCACACCCGGCACTCGACAATGCATAAGTGGGTTTTGGGTTGCAGTTTGGGCACTCGGTCTCTTAAAGGTTCGCCATCACTGCTTTAGTATGTGCGTACTACATGCAAATAGTCTTTGACCTACAACTGTAATTGAGCCTAGAATTACAGTCATAAATCATGCCAGTTGTTAAGCAGGTCATCACTTGACTGCACTCAATTTTATGACCTTGTTTTGCAGCAGTCATTAAGTAAACACAGCAGTGGTAAAGCAAATACCATGGTCGTTAAATGAATCCATTGTCTGCAATGGATGTTTTTTTCCTGGAAACTGGGAACACCAATTTTTTGCAAAGAAAATGGCCCAAATCACAGTCACATGACTATGGAGTGCTGCAAATGGCCATAAATGCAGACCAGTTGCCAAGAGCTCCAAATGCAGTCACGTGAGTCTGGTGGGGGACAGCCACCAGAACTTCAAATTTGGCTCCTATGTACCTTATCTGAGCTCTGTCGTAATTTTGAACAGTTGCAAAGCAGCTAATTATAAATCAAGCATTATCTGTATCTGGCTTTTAAGCTGCACTAGTTCCCAACAGGTGTTTAGGTGCAATTCAGGATGCTGGTTAGTGCCTATAAAGCTCTTCATGGCATAGAATCAAGATATTTCAATGACCACTTTTCTCCAATTGTCTCTACCTGCCCCATCAGATCTGGCAGAAAAAGCATGCTCTGGATCTTGTTGATCAGAAAACATGTCTTCTCTGTAACAATGTCAGCCCTTTGGAACACCGTTCCTCCTGAGATTAGATTAATCCTAAACTTGCTGCACTTCTGGATTTCAGAAATGGTAGTTAGTGAATTTGTTATTTGTCCAATTATCTTTGCTGTCGATTTTTTCTTTTTGATGCTTGTATTTTTTGTTTTGATGTTATATTATGTTAGTTGTCTAGAGTTAAAGCCCAGAGTTGGCAGCCATAGAAATCCAATCTAGTGCTCAATTTTGGGCTGAGGTTTTGAGCTCCATCAATATACATGTAAATTAGTTGTATTTTAAAATGTTTGAAAACTAAAAAAAATGTGTGCTTAATATATAAGTCAGATGGCCCATACTTAAAAGTATTAAAACACATCATACTTACTTGGGACCAGAAACAGATTAAAAAAGAACTATTTTACAGAGTCATTCAATGTGAATCTATGACATCAATGGATTTTTAACCCCGGGTTAAAAATTGATGCACAACTTTATATTAATAGTTTATAATATTCCAATAGACAAATAAATTACTAGAAATACAATCCTAAATTAAAAGTAACTTTTATTAAAATATTCAAGTAAGGAGAATGATTAACAGCACATTTTATCATACAAGATATATCAAATGAACGATATAATTGATTTCAGACAAACAAGCTTTTGCCGGGCATAATTTAAGATTTTTTTAAAGATAAGAGCCAATATAAAGACCATAGAAATCTATGTTGCTTAATTCACACTCAGCTGTACTAAAAAAATGTATTTAGCATATTACAAAGGCTAGAGGTATATAATCTGGAATATTAAGGAACATATCTAGATGACATCCTTTGCTGCAGGCTGCATAGTTTATAGCAGAGGTCCCCAATCCCCAGTCCATGGGCCAGTACCGGGCCACGGCATGCCAGCAACCGGTCCACACAAACAAGCAAAGCCCCATCTGCGGGATACAGGCAGGACACGAAACCACACCCCTTCCGGTCCATGAAAAAACCTCTCTCCACGGAACCGGTCCCTGGTGCCCAAAAGGTTGGGGACCTCTGGTTTATAGTATGAAATGGGAATCTGTACCCACAAAAATTATAATTAATGTGTAAGATTTTGAGAAATGATTCTTTATTTGAACTGAACTCTTCACTGTGCCAGTTTGACCTATGGAATGAAATCAGTATGGTCTTTATTTGGCCTGCAGGTTTTTCATGTGCTGGTACTATTACTACAATGTTTATTAGCAGTGCTATTGCCTGCTGCAATTAGCATACTGCAATACAAAAAGAAGAGTGACATCTTAATGGTAAAGAACACATTTTAAAATTTAAAAGTCCTAAATTAAATCCTTGGCATCTCAGGCTGAGCTTAAGTAGGCTCCTGTTCAAAACCTGAAAGTGCTGCTCATCGGTACAGATAATTCCAAGAAAGTTGACTAGTAGCTTGACTTGATATAAGGCAGCTAGTTGGGAAGATTTGATTTAACTTTAATATTCATAATTCAAACATTCATTGAGCACATTCTCTTCTGAAATCCCACTTTTTACATGGAAATACTTAAGAAATCGATAGTGCGTATTGCTCATCATAGCTTCGGCCCCTCTGAAAGACAGCCTGGGTTAGCACGACACATGAGGCTAAAAGGCGATTGGCCAATTTGTAACTCAGTGTGTTGTGCAAACCTAACCTGTAGAGTCGATTTATGATTCACTGTGTGTTCCGTCAGGCAATTTGGTTAATTCATAAGCCATTATTATATAAGCTATGGCTAGTCTACTGTGCAAACAAGCCAAAGACAGTTCATGAAATTTAACCAACAAAATCTAATTATCACATACATAAAAACAAATAGGATTCTTTTATTACAAAACACAAATAGAGAACAATAGAAATGTTGAACACATACCACTGATAGAAAAATTGACATTAAAAACCTTCACTTAAAATGTATTAACTTAGAATATATTGTGTTCTAGAAAGGGTTACTTTTAGTCTAAATTACTATATGGGAAAAACCTTTAGGAAAAGCATGCACCATCGGTAATGTATTTTCACAGATAACATTTTTAATTGCAGGGTGAATCATAGGATAGTACATAAGAGCTTCTTCTCCCTGAAGGGATTTTCAGATGCAGGCACTGGTATAATAAGGGGATCTTCTCCCATATGAGCATCACAATATGCCAATAAATCAGCAGCTGCCTTGGATACCTAGGAGCATTTTAAAAAGAAGAAAAGGAACAAAAGAAAAACGGGGGAAGGATTATCTAGGTATTGTTACTACTTCCATAGTGTTAATAGGTTGATCCAAGCAGTTAGAATATTTCTATGAAGGAGTCCTTTATACCAGTGTTTCCCAAACTTGACAATTTTAAGGCATGTGGACTTCAACTCCCAGAATTCCACAGCCAGCAACGCTGGCTGTGGAATTCTGGGAGTTGAAGTCCTCATGCCTTAAAATTGTCAAGTTTGGGAAACACTGCTTTATACCATAGCTGCGGAACCAGATGCCCCAGGCTTGCACATGATTCTTGAAAGCTTTCTGTGTATCTCCCAGCCTCTCAAGAAAATTCTCTGCATTATAATTTCGAATAAGGCAGAAACACAAAAGTATTAAGTATATAAGCAGTAATCATATAATTAAACTACTTCATATTAAATTAAATTATTTTAAAGATTTTACCTTGCCCATCAGATCTTTTCTGAGAGTAGGATTTGGAGGCCTACCATGCATATACCTCAAACTATAGTTCAGTATGTTATTTATTAATCTCTCTAAAATTATAGTACATTCCTAAAACAGGACATGTATAGACTATGGGGAAGAGTCCAAAACTAAATATGAAAAAAGTGATATACCGTGTTTCCCCAAAAGTAAGACCTACCCTGAAAATAAGCCCTAGCTTGATTTTTGGTGGTGGGCCTAATATAAGCCCTACCCCAAAAATAAGCCCTAGTTTTGGGGTGAGGCACACACCTAAAAATAAAGCTAGGGCAGGGTGGGAGCTCTCCACGCACCCCGCACCCACTTATCTTGCAGCCAGGCCTCTCCTCACCAGCCCACTTCTCCCGTGTCCACAGGCCTGAATTTTGCAGTCAGGCCTTTCAGGAAGGCCTCTGCAGCCAAAAACCGAGCTATGGATTCAATCCATAGCTCCATTTTGCAAGGCCTTTGCAGCCGAGAACCAAGCTATGGATTCAATCCGTAACTCGGTTCTCAGGTGCAGAGGCCTTCCAGAAAGACCTGACTGTGAAATGCAGGGCCGAGTTCCATTTTGAGTTGCAGAATGAAGCTGCTCCTTTGGCTGCAGAAGAAATGGGCTGGGTGGGTGGGGCTGTTGAGGCCAGAAGTGAGTGAAAAAGACACCCCCCAAAAATAAGACCTGGGGCCTCTTTTGGAGGAAAAAAAGACCCGGTCTTATATTCAGGGAAAAATGGTATTGATATTTTTTTCATATTTTTAGAACAATGTGGAAATCTTCACAAGTTCCGCTAAAAGTGGAACAAAAACAGATGCAAAGGAAAAGAAAGACTAAATGAGTTATTTAAAAAATGTGACCAGTATCTTTGTCAGATATTTACATGATTAATTAGGCACTTCTCTTTAACAGCGAAGCCTCTGTAATAAACAGTGGCCTCTGCATCAGATCAAAGAAATACAGTATAGGTGATCCTTATTATTCACAGGAGTTTCATCAGCATAAAAGCATAAGCTGCAAATAATGCAACGTTGAGTATATGAAAAGTAAAGAATAGTCTTCTTCTTCTGCATCATCCCTGTATTTACTCTTCTTTCTCCCTGCTCTACCTTTGGATCACCCCAGTCACAGGGCTTCAAACAGATTATTTACAGCAAGCATCCTTCTTCTTTGGAGTCTACACTCAGACGATGATGGAGAGGGTCACCTCATTCATACCGAGTGGTTCATGATGGGTCTCCACTCTGTACAGCTCTTTCCGATGAGGGAGTTGGCGACTATCAATTGCACACTATATTCTATTGATGCCAGCAGTCTGTATGCAATGTTTAGAGGGAATTGTGAATGTGCTGGAGGCAGAGTTAACATTCAGTGGCTGGACACTACTGCTTTCTGCAGACCATTCGCTGCTCATTCCATTTGCTGCAATTGATATGTGGGCTGCATTAGTATCCAATGATATAATCAAAAGGCCATTCTAATGTGACAAGACCTGCATCATGCGGGACAGTTATCACATGTTTTGTTGTCCAAACAGGGTAGTTTGTTCTATCACCAACCATAAGTCACTCCAAAGAGTCAATGCTATAAGGAAGCCATGTGAAATATTGCAGCAGAACTGGCCAGCAAGATGCAATTTTTTTATTCATATGTAGTTCCTATACATATTTTATTTTTAGTCTATGATAATGTACCAAATTCTGGCACAAGTACAGACATTCAGAAAAAGAAAAGAAAAGCTCAATTAGATTGGTCAGTTATTTTTGTGCTAATGGATTGTAAAATAGTAACAGAAAGGAAAACAAGGAAAAATTAGATTAGAAATGTATGTAAGGAAACTAAATTTTGGAATATGTGTCCTTCACCAAGCAACTTGGAATCACTTAGACACAATTTCTGATAAATTGGTTTCTAGATCTCACAATCCAGACAATGTAACCATATTAAACCAGTAGTTGATTAACTCTCTTTTTGTTTATTATAGATGAATATTACCACAAATTCAACCTCGGAAAGTTGTTACCAGATATTTATGATTTAAGAGAAAGTTTAGCAATCTTTGAAAGAACTAGAGAATGTTATCATTACATTTCAGAGTAAAGAAGGTGATTAAAAACAGCCCAAGTTAGAATATAATCCTGTTAGATACCCTATAATTATAAGATTCAGTGACAAGACAAAATGCTGCAATTACTACAGTCACCTTCCATGAAAAGACAGACATAATTACTGTTCATGCAATGACACCCACTCTGCTTGTGCTTTGTATCTAAAATGAGCACATCCACAAACATCTCACTAATGCCAGTGTTGATTTCACAACACTATTTTAGAAATAATTAACAATTTCATCTTTAAAGGAGAATGGGAAAAGCACAATAGCTGCTGCACGCAATTGTTCACAATGCTACTTATGTTAAAAATCAGTGTTTCTTGACTGGATGTCAGCAGCTTAGTTTTATTTTTCTAAAAGGTATCTGCAAACTTTAGTTAACACCATACAAATTTATTCTACAACATTGACTTTAACTTTTTCAATTTCACTGTTTTATTTTTAAAAAAGGAATTTTCTTTCAGCAGCAATATTTATCTATAATGCATTAGTTTCATCTCAATCATAGCTATTGTTCTTAATTAAGATCTAATTTTTTAGTATATTTTGTTCGTTATTCTGAATATTTTAGAGTTTAATTTATCAGTTCCTATTTGGACAATTGGGTCTTTGCATATTAACTTGAAATATACACAAATCTCTTGTTAATACAAATAGTAGTGATTAAATCAAGAAGCCTCTCATACTTCTTTATTTTTGCTGAATTGAGAAACTATTATAACAAATTGAGAACAAAGGCATTATGGTTCACTTATGAGCTTTGTTTACATATAAGCTATGCAAATAAGCTCTATACACTAAGAAACATGAATGTATTTCTCAGCTTAGTAATCAAAGTCTAATTATCTGAATATGCCCTGGGCATACATATGGTTTTCAGATGTGTGATCATCCAAGTAATATATAAAATTGGACCTCTTTAGCTTTAGAAATAAAACTAGATGAGATAATATTCAACTTCTGGAAGAGAAGAAATGTTAGCAATAAACAGTATTAAATCCCCAGTCTCCGTTTTCCTTTCCATAGTTGTTAGACCTAATCTCTCTGCTCTTTGGATGTATATTCTTTATCTATTTTGACTTTGACATAAAAGATTCTGTTGCTCAACAGTTATTGCATATAATATCACAAAGCAATATAATTGATCCTCATAATCCTCAGCATCAGCTTTTTCAAAATGCCAATTTAAATATATCATTTAGAATGTTTTGTACATGTGGAAATGAGTCATCTCTGTTTATGCATATGCAGGAATACAATAATGTTTATGTGGGAATGTTATTTGAGAAACTAATAAAAGTTAATTAATTTACAATGTATTTGTTTCATTTCCAAAGAGAAGTAAATGTGTATACATTCATTTTGCTTATCTCATGAATGTAAAAATCACAATCTAAGATATTCAAGCCAAACATCTGTCATGTGCAGTAGTAATTTCAAACCAGAGAAAAATCTGCTTAGGCAGTGTTTTTAAAGAATGGGTGCCTATGAGGTCTTTCAAAAACAATTTTAGTACTGTAGTTGACAGGACAGCACAGTGGGTTAGGTGTTCTGAGGAGGATTTAAACTTCATAGAATTGTCACTGATCCAACAACATTTAATTAATTTTACAAGCCAAGATATCCTCTGTTCTGTATTGTGAACAGAAAATCTAAGAAATGTCAAAGGCTTTAAAACACTTCCAAATAACTACTTTGTTCACTCAAGTACCACAAAATTGTGCTCTGAAAGGATGCATCACATCTAACATTCAATAAATTTACTAACTCCAGTGACAACGGATATAATCTACTTTTTTCTTAAATTAAAATGAGAGATCGTCTTTTCTCAACAGTAAAATTTATCAACAAACTAAGAGAGTTACAGAGCTGCTCAGGAGATAATTCAAGGATAGTCTGATCCTTCATGTGCTATTAATTTCCAAGCATAAATGCTATAAGTAATAGCTATATGCCCTAATTTCAGTATAACCTAAACATTTATGCAACTTGAGTAAATTCCAACATTATACAAATGTTGAACAGTAGGATTTTTCTCTCTTTAAATCCACAATGTCGACCTTGGCCTTATTTTATCCTAGAATTACTCCAAGGTCTCTGAATCAGATTTTGAGAATCTAGGGGGTTCTAGGAGAAAGAGTATCTTCCCCTTTTTTTCTGCAATAGACACCCATCCATGAACAATGAAGGTCACTGTAAATCAGGGGTGTCAAACTGCCAGCCCACGGGCGGGATGCATCAAACTGAAGCTGCGCCCACCCTAGCTCCAGCAAGGAGGAAAAAGTTGCAATAAGTTGTGACACATTACGTGACGTAGCGAGTTTGACAACCCTGCTGTAAATAGTTACAGCTTCCCAATTACAAATATCACAGGATAATATCTGTACGAGTTAGACTGAGAATCGGAGAGTGCCAAGGAAGGGATTATTGTTGTATCAATGGCCACTCAGCCCCCTGCCCGAAACGTGCAGAACAGATGTCCCTTAAGCTATTAGAAAACTGGTGGTGGTAGGAAAGCTACAGGTTTAATCTGTGCTGGACATAAGGGGAAATTAAACTCTCATATTGACAGATGGCAAACAACTAGCTTCAGCCTAGTGCCGATGCCAGTATGCCATATGAAAATTCTTATCTAGCTATGCTGGTTGAAAATATGAATAGTGTCTGCAGATTTCTAACCAGTGGGTAGCTAAAATTTGTAAATATGATTACAAGTTCAAATTTACCTTTATCCTATCCAGATATGCTTCCATTTTTAATTGTTCCACTGCTTTTCTTGCTTGAGATATACTTGTTGTACTGTTATTAGGCATTATCTCCTTCATTCTGATTTTCCTAGATCAATAAAAATGAGAGCATTACAAATTGTTTATTTTTAAAAGATAAACCATTCTAAGAATAGATATATTTTTCTAGCTCCAGTTTCTCCTTAGATCCTTCTTTCATTTCACTGATCAATCCTCATTGAACTGCCAGTATGGAATTTTATCTTTGCAATCTTCCTCTAGGCTTTTCAATATAATCAGAGATCAGGTTACCTAATAATAACCCATCATATTTAATATGTAATTAAGTCATTTATTGTAGCAGGAGAAATCAGCTTTGCACAACGCCCTAATTTGAGAATAAGGCAGCATTGGCAGAGCAGAATCATAAGGGACAGGATTTTCAGTCCCCCCCCCCCCAATTTGAACTGAGGAGGTTGTTTTTTATTTTGATTTGTTTTCTTTAATTGGCCTGTTTGTGCATTTCCTGCCTCAATATACCAGGAAACTACATGTCCTCAGTGATAAGTAATAATATCACTGATTTCCATCTATCGGTTTCAGGGCTTCTAGGATTTCAAAAATGCTTATGGGGACCACAAGTTGTCCATTTATTCATAATAGCTTTGGAGAGGGAGAGGGAGGGAGGGAGGGAGGGGGAGAGAGAGAGAGAGAGTGAGAGAGAGAGGTGTTGCATCTTCATTTCTCAAAACCTGAGTTGGTTTTACAAATCAGGGAATTGTCCATTTGTCTGTCAAATGAAATTCCAGCCTTTAAAAACACTGATATTTGTTTCTTTATTTTAAAGAATTGCAGGCCAGATTTAAGGGTAAAAGATCCAGTAATGTAATTTCTATAGCATAAACTAATAATGTTGACTTAAAACCGTTTAACATCTTGTATATGTTTTTCCTGGTAATTTAGTTTTAGGTTCTTAGTACATATTAATCTTTCATATTAAAACAGAATGTTTCCTATTGCCCTCTGCTTTATCCTCTACTTTATCTTACCAATTTTGTAAACCCAGTAACTATATATAATTTATAGATCATTCCTTATGGCTTAACACATGTCAATTCACCCTATGGCAATTTATTCAATCAGTAAAGAGCCAGTTTGTTCTAGCAGTTAAGGCAGCAGGCTAGAAACAGGGAGAGTATGGATTCTAGTCCTGCTTTCAGCATGAAAGCATGCTGGGTGCCTCTGGGCAGTCATTCTCTCTCAGCCCAACCCACCTCACAGAAATATAGAAGGCAAAGGAGTATTAGGTATGTTCACAACTTTGAGTTATTATTTCTATTTTTTTTTAAAAAAAACACCTTTACACAATATGTGAATTCCCACTAAATTAGTACTGAAATACTTATAAATGGTTAAAATGTCCGCATGAGTATAAAATTAATGTATAAAATGTTATATCTAGAGTTAATACAATACCAGAAACAGAATCACTACAAAGAGAGAACGAAAAGGAGAATCAATTGATTTATTTGTACCTTAAAAGAACCAATTTGTTTCTGTCATAAAAGAAATCTTACAACCAGATTTTGAAAGAGGTAATCGGTAAAAACCAATCAGTGAGAAGCAATGCCACCTTGTAATATGAACTTCCCTATAATTTGCCTCACTATCTCTCTTGCTATTATTGATAGTTAGAAGGGTTTGGTTTTGATATTAAGATATTTTATGTATCATTTGTATTGCACTGTTCTGATGCAGACTTTATTGCAACATTACAGTTTTACCTGAGGTATGCTAATGTGAGCAAGGTGGAAACATTTTTTTTATTACAAATAGCAATAAAATAACTAGCAAATCTAGCTTAGAATCAGTTTAAATTCCTGGGATATGGTGATATGAAAATCGAATGGATGGTTAAAGAAAAACTGGATGTGAAAGATGCACTGCTGTTCTCTGTCTTTCTGGTTCTACAGAATATGAGAAGACTTAACACATAGGGCAACAGGCTATTGTTTAGGCATATAGCCCAGGGGGAAGAGAAGTGCTACAAGAGAGCTGAATATTTGTAAGTGGCAGGATTTTTTTTTTAAAGCAAAATCTCTGCAAACTCTCCTACTAAATAAGACACCAGAGGGTTATTTCAGATTCAGATGAAAGCATTTCCAAATAATATACCCAAAAGCATACTGCAAAAAAGGGAGACATTACTCCTGAACACTCACATTTAATTCATTATTTTTAAAAACTCAGTGCGGATATGAAACAGAAACAGTAAGAAGGTAATATTTGTCGGGAATTTGGATTTCTCTCTCAGGCAAGATTTTGTTTCATTCATATTAAAGTTTTGCAAATAAGAAAATGGAGAATAAGCTACACCACAGATCTATATCTCTTGAGAAAGAATCCCAAAGGTCATAGTGCGCATCAGGTTTTTCCCCTTTGAGGCAGGTTTTATTTCATTTTATTTATTTAATTTGTTTGCCACCCATCTTGCTGCAAGGAAACTCTGGGCAGTGTACAACATTTAGTTTTAGATTTACCCTTCTGGACTCTTGAGACCAGCATTTCCTGAAGACAGAAACAGAGACATGAAAATGGATATGGTGTGGCTGAGGCAAAGAGGGACCTTGGCTTTGAAAGCTCTTAAATCCTTTCCCAGACCAGTAAAATATTTGGATGAACAAGTCTCCTGTGTTTAGTCAGTTTCTCATAACTACTCTGAAAGAGTAATTCAAATTCCATTAAATTCAAGCACGCATAAAATTGTTATTCTGTGGATTTTTGTCCCTTTTTTGGCCTCTACTCTCTTGTCTTAAAAAAGTTTTTGCCTGCTGCAGGCATAAGTAATTGGTGTAATATACTTGTGATTACAGCATGGGTACATATATTTTCAGACATAGTTATAAACCGTGAATCAATAACTCTAACTCTAACCTCTCTGGTGGGAAGAAAGCAAAGGACATCCAAAACAAGCAGATATAATCTCTGCACTTTCACTTGGGGAACAAAAATAAAACCATTGTGCAACAAATATTCACCCCCTTTTCCCTGCATATCTTTGCCACTGAATATTGTAAAAGTGACCTATAAAGTGAGAAAAGTGCATGAGCAAACAGCAACCGAAGTTTGGTGCTTGATTCATTTATTTCATAAAGATATCTTATATGTGATGGCCCAGTGAATTGCCCTCGCCTCCCCTCAGAAGCAGTAACTAGTTGTACCACTTTCAACTACATTAATTACAACCACGTGCTTCCTCTCTTTGGTTGTCAGTTTCTCATATAGCTGGGTAGAAATTCTGGCCTATTTCTCCATGGCAATCTACTTCAGCTCAATAATGCTTGAAAGTTTACTAGTATGACTTGCTCATTTCAGATTCTACTCCCTTTCTCTTTGAGTTGGTCTTTCCAAAACATCAAATTTGGTCTCCTACAGCCATTTTCTTCTAGACTTCTTTGTATGTTTGGGATTAGTATCTTCCTGTATGATCTAATGCTTGAGAAGTGGCATTAGTCACTCCTGGTAAGATGGGCAGCTATATAAATTTGACAGATAGATAGATAGATGAGGGAGAGAGAGAAAGAAAGAGGGAGGGAAGGATTCTTACTGTTGAATGCAATATTTGTTTTCTGCCAAACGTAACAATTCCATGTAATTGCAAAATGTTCATATTTGATTCATCTATCCCTAAAATGTTCCTTCAGAGAACTGGAAAGTTGTCCAAGTGCCCTTTGGTAAATTTGAAACAAGCATTACTATTCTTAGTAAGCAGTGGCTTCTACCTTGCTTACCACACTCCCAAGAATGCCCTTTTTAACCAGTTTTTTTCAGATGGGTAAATTGTGTAGACTGTTTGGTCAAGGCAAAAAAATCCTGCAGATCCCTACATGTTTTCCTAGGGTTTTAATTTCCTGTATGCTGTGCTCCTAGAATGGTTTTGAGAGGATGGCTGCTGTTTGTAGTGTTCACTGATCTCCAAGCCTTCTCCATTTCAAGACTGTCTGTATTGCTATTAATGGAGAATTAGTTTTTCACTGTTTTCACACTGAACGTGTTTGAACATCTAGAACTGATATGGCAAGACTTTCATATTGATGAGGAGCCAAGATTTGTGAGATTTGCATAGGGTAGGGTTGCTGGCACACATCAGCCCTGCTTGTTTAATGAAGCATTCACATACATAGCCCTAGTTACATCTGTAATGGAACTGATTGAATTAAGGGGAAACTACATATTTCACACTGGCACATCATATTGGATGACCTTTGTTTATGAAATGAATAAGACAAAAATGGAACTTTAATTATTTTTCGGTCAGATTCCATATATACAATATATATTAGTTGGACCACATGAAGCTCTGATTACATTTGGTAGCAATTATGCAGAAATTCAGAAAATCTTAACACTTTTTCATATAACTGAATTTATTCTCTTGCTTATTTCACACAATTATCTCCTTCATTTCTTACGAGGGAGAGGCAGGGAAAGGACACACCTCTGCTAGAGGAAAAGTCCACTGGTATATTGTTAGATGAACCTAAAACACAAATTTAATTAACTATTCTGTAAGCCTACAATGCCTTCTTAAAGGACTTACCATTTATATCTGTTTTAAAAGCAACTACTGCAACAAATAGGCTTCTAATGAGGTTCATCCCAAGCATGGGCCTCTGCAAAGGGAGCAAATGATGATATACATGTGACAACACTATTAAGCAAATGTTGCAACTTAAGTAAAGTTAGTCAAATGTCAGAATGAAAGTATAAAATTGCATCAATGCAGTGTCATCCTTTTGACATGATTGGCTGCATAGATGTACATTGCTTTAGAATTCCTGGATAGATTCTGTAGCATTTCAGATACAAAAGAATATGGAGCTTTTTTGGGGGGTGGGGGACGGGGACATATTGGTTTGAATTGAGTTAAGATCCTGTTTGATTTTCCTTACAAATTTGTTAACATTTATATACAAGATTAATTTCTGAGCACAACACAGGATTATAAAATTAATAGTTAGTTCCATGAATATTGATATTTGTCTGCTTTTTTACATCAATTCACAATAATTACTATATTTTCCCCAGTACAGACTCTTAGAACACATACTTGCTCAGGTTTCAAGTTCCTATACCTTCAAGTCTCCACCCAACCTAGAAAATACATCTGCTTTTGGTTTAAATCCCATTTTTATTTTTTGTTTTTTTCTCTTAAAAAAAGAAACCAATTTTTATTTTCTATATCCCTGTTATCACAAGTTAATAGATGTAGTAATAAAAATGATAGAATTCAAACTGTTCAGTAAAACTTAAATTTATTTAAATTACAACAGAACAAAGTGACTTTGTTTGCTTAGTTTGTACTATTTCCATCCAAATTATACTTGGGATTATAAAACAAAATGGAAAGTATGCCAGTTTTTAATAATAATAATAATAATAATATAGTAGTAGTAATAATAAAGTTGGAAGGGACCTTGGAGGTCATCTAGTCCAACCCCCTGTTCAGGCAGGAAACCCTATACCATTTCGGACAAATGGCTGTCCAGTTTCTTCTTAAAAACCTCCAGTGTTGGAGCATTCACCGCTTCTGGAGGCAGGTTGTTCCACTGGTTAATTGTTCTAACTGTCAGGAAGTTTCTCCTTAGTTCTAGGTTGCTTCTCTCTTTGGTTAGTTTCCACCCGTTACTTCTTGTCCTGCCTTCAGGCACTTTGGAAAATAGCTTGACTATTTAGAACAGGGGTCCCCAACCCCTGGGCCACGTGAACTACCGTGGCCTATTTGGAATTGGGCCATGCGAGTGGCAGCCAAAATGCACGCAGGCTCACGTAACTCAACTTGTGCAAGTGGTGGGCCGGCGGGTACTTGCACGTGGCAGCCTGTTGGTCACGCAAATCAAGCTGCGCACATGCATGCCAGCCCACCACTCACCCAAGGGCTGCGTGCACACAGGTGTGCCAGCCCACTGGTTGTGCAACCCAGTTCTTTCCCCCCAATTGGGTCGCCAAGCCGTAAAGGTTGGAGACCGCTGATTTAGAACACACATTTCCCTAATTCTTTGTGGCATTTCATGATGATGATGGTATCCATTCAGTTGTGTCTACTCTTAGCAATTTATGGGCCAGGTTTCTCCACATCTTCTGATTTTGCACTACTTTTTTGTGATGTTCTATGCTCTGCCTGGTGTAATTTCTGATGGTGTCCAGCCACCAAATCCAAATGTTATTTTTAATGAATTCTTGTCTAAAAGTTAAGTACCTACATAGCCTTTGATTTCTTACCACTGGATGAAAATTTAAAATTTCAGTTTGGTTATATGTTCAAAATATTTCTCCTTTAGCACCTGCTCACAGAACCATCCTATCTTATTAAACTAAAGTTATTAAACTAAAGGTTTTCAAACAGAGTCTACAAAGGAAAATAGTACCCAATATAGCATTAACCTATAAATACCAATCATAATTGAAAACTCTGTAATGGTGCTCTGGTTTTCTTTAATTATATCATGATTCTAGGTTTTAATGGGTATAGAAAAAGGAAAAAAAAGAAACATTATAATCAGATGTAGATCCTATAACTGTTAATAACTATAAAGCTATTTTTATTTTTTTTAATATTTTAATTATTGACTATCCAATATTTAATGTAAATCAAATAAATGAACCGTTAATATAGATCAACAGTGCCATCTAGAGAAAGAACAGCAACTTGCAATGATTTGTGACCCTTTTTAATTGCACCACTAAATTCTGGAATAATGGCCAGAAATTAGATATGTGATTTGCCACAGTTCTTCAGTAAAATGTTGTTATGACATGCACTGCATAAGATTAATGTATCGACCCATATAAACAAGCCAAAAGCAAAGCTTATTTACTCATTTTTATTTAATATGGTCCACAATTGGGCAAAGTTTGACTGTCTACACTCTAAAACAGTGTTTCCCAAACTTGACAATTTTAAGGCATGAGAATTCTGGGAGTTGAAGTCCACATGCCTTAAAATTGTCAAGTTTGGGAAACACTGCTCTAAAACTAACCTGACTAATATCTTGGGTTGCATCAGGTTTCTTGGTCAGGAGCCATACAAATCATAAAATCCTAAGATAGGATTGGAAGAGACCTTGGGGGTCTTCAAGTGTAATCCCTGACAGAAATTCTCAAACCATCTCAGGCAAATGACATTCCAACAACCTTTGCTTGAAAACTTCCAGTGATGGAGTATTTATAACCCAAGGAGGCAGACTATTCCACTGCTTGACAGCTCTCATAATCAGGAAATTCCTCATGTTTGGCTCTCTTTCTATAAAGCTTTCCAGTCATTGGTTTTTTATTCTCGCAGAATCGTTGGAAGTGAGGCAACATGTAAATGTAATATATAATCATGTTATGATTGGTTGGACAACCAGATGTTTAGACTGGATTTGGCATTTTTATCCACCTATCAATGAAGGATCTGGAATGAGGCAGATTCTGTTCTTTGATGATGTAAGCTGTTTCAGGTAAGGTTGCCTTTTGCCATTGACCGATGGTGATTTTGTCAATGCCAATGGTGTTAATGCTCCAGTTGTTTGGAGATTGCATCCAAGGAGCTTATTATTATTATTATTGGTACTATCTTTGTTTTCTTTTGCCACAATTGTTCTATTTCTATTTGCAAATTTTTGTATTTTGTAATTTTATCCAGTTTTTTATTCTGTTGTCACCATGTACTGCCACATTACTGTTATTATTACCTTGGCTCTAAAGAGATTAACTCATAACATGTCCATTCTCTTAATCGATTTCCATGGGATTTAGCCTCCTGAAATTTTACTTTTTTTTATTAATTTTTTTTTAAATTTTACAATAAAAACCCCTTCCCCAATCCCTCCCAACCCACCCCAAAACCCTCCCCCATTCTTCCCAGAGCTGAATACAGGCTTAACTAGATCTTAAAAGAAAAAAAGTTTTAAACCCAAATAAACCTTAAGCAAATATAATTACACTCAATAAACAAATTGTAAAGTACTTTAACTCCATTACATATAAAAAACAAAAAGAGGGAAAAAAAGAGAAAATAAAAAAATAAAAAAAATAAAAAATTAAAGAACAATAACAATTACACTTCTAAATAATATCTTAAACTTATATAAATTATTCAAAAGCTAGATAATATTTTCTTATATCATACTTATACTGTATAAAATTTATCCATCTTTTCCACACCAAAAGATACTTCTCTTGCGATTGATCTTTCAAGAAAGCCGAAATTTTTGCCATTTCCGCTAAGTAAGAAACTTTAAAAAACCATTCTTGCAAAGTAGGCAAAGATTCCTTCTTCCGATATTGCCCTATTAACAACCTAGCCGCAGTAATTCTGAAATTTTACTTTTGTTACATGACCCTCTTTTCATTTTTTAAACTTGTCATTATCATTGTTCTTGTTGTTGTTATTCTCAGTTTATTACAGAACTGTATTTTTACCTCCAGACTCCTCTATTCTTTCCTCAGGCCTTGGTCTTGTGTTGGAAGTATGAACAAAAATACTACTTGTGCTCCAACCATTTTTGCTTTCCTGCCTAACCCCTAATAGTCTCTTGATAATTCTTCCAGATTGCTTTTGGCAGTGTCATTGTTCCAAGGTGAAATAGAAGAAAAGGACTATGATCAATAGGATTGATTAATCAGGTTAGTGTCTCTCCATCACTTGGGAAACAGCATATTTCCCTTGATATCAAGTCTGTAGAATGTCAACTCCAATTCTCTCAGAAGCAGGTCTCCCATCATCACAACATACCTTTGGCACAGTAGTTGGATTTCTCGCCTCCATGGAAATTCAAGCTTCCCTCTTCCCTGTCCCTGGAATGCTGAGAGAAAACTCTTTCCCCAAAGTTAAGCCTGTTTCTCCCCTCATGAATACTTGCATCTTTAATCTCTTTCTAACTCATACCTTCCCATCACCTCCCTTTATCTCAATGTCCCAAGCAGGGGTATCTCAATCAATCATCTGTTTGTCATGTTTACAGTCCCCTAAGCCAAGGCATTCAGCTCTTCCCTTTCTATCGTCTGGTTTGTTATTTTGTTCCAGCTAAAAACATTTTTCAAAAATCTGTACTGCAGGGCAAGGGCTATTCTCATCCCATCTATCCCATCCATTGAGTGGCACTGGGGTGGTGGTGGCGGTGGCAGGAAGTGAAAACTGAAAAAAAATATACAGCAGGTAAAAAGTATCCATTTTGGCGGTAGCAGGAATTGAAAACTGAAAAAAAATATACAGCAGGTAGAAAGTATCCATTTTCTGAGCCTTCTCACACTTCAACTCTGTCACAGAAAAGGAGTCAATTAACCTCCACTGACTCCTCAGATAACAGATAATCCCAAATAAGACAGTTGATCAGGGATACTTATTTTAGTCTGGAACAGATCCAGAACCATTTGGGGCAAACAGTTACCTCTCAGGGTTATTCGACTGAATCAGAGGCCAAAGCAAGATCTTTTTATTTTGGTTGTTTTGCTTTGTTTTTACTTGATAAACTTCATCACCCAACAATATAGTATTGTAAACAATAAAGTATATATTTATTTCCCATTTTTATGATTAGATTATATGGTGAACATCTGAGTTTTTTTTATGCTGTGCATTCCTATTAGTTTTGGTATCTTTGATTGAAGGATTATATGCCCTCAAGTCATTTTCAATTCCTAGTGATCGCATAGGTAGATTTTCTCCATGAGTGATATTTTTAAACAGCTATTTGGTTTTGTATACTTGTCACTAAATTCTTAACATTCTGAAACATGTACATAATTTTTAAAGGGTATTTAACAATGTTCCTCATCTCTTGCCTGAAAACAGTTTAAAATTTCTCTGATCTTTTTATATATATATATATAATGCTAGTGTCCTGCATTCATCACTGTAATACAACTGGAACAGTCTGTCTGTTTTGCACTAAAATCTGTTCTGGCACTCTTTATCTGAACAATTGAGATTCCTGTTGCCTGTTTATCAACTCCCAAATAGAGAAAAACAGAAGAGGGGAAAAAAAGCAACCTTTCTTAAAATGCTTCTTTTGAAGGTTTTTTTTCTTTTTCCTTCAGTACCATCCTAACCTTCCGCACATTACATTTGGTGCCTAATCATACAACTAAAATGTTGTATGATTACTCTAATAAATATCCACTAACATAGCTCTTCTATCCCTAAAAGGCACAAACAACAAAGGATGTCAGTTTATAATCTCTCCCACTTCCTCAGAATATTTGCCTTCTGCCCACAGACCTTCATTCTCTGATAGATACACTGCAACCGCCTCTCTAATATACATGTTATGGACACACATACATATCTGCATTCTCAGATTTTCTAAATTAGGTGCCACATGGCCTGGAATAGTGCCCAGCAGCTCAAGATACTAAACACACACACACACACACACACACACACACACACACACACACACCATATATATACATCTTCTTTTCATTAGAAAGTCATCCATGCCAGTTCTTGCCATACTCTGATTTTATATGTTTGAAGTCAGATGAAAGTCTTAATTATGTGAGAAGTCTGTTTAAATGCAGAAAGTAGCAAAAATGAGAAACCGAAAGAGGGCCTCATCAGTGAAATATTGCCTTATTGCACTGTTTCTGGCAATCCCAGTGACAATTTCTTTAAACAAATTATTTCGGGTAAGACCAAGAATGCAACTTGCATGCTTTGAAAACACTTGTGACACACCCCAACTCTACAAGCTGGGAATCTGCCACGGGGCAAAAGTCATTCCCCCTCTTCTCAACCAAACCAATGGGTTTGAGGCACATTGCCAGCAACGCAGTGCCCCGGAGCGGGGCTCTCCCTAAGTTCCCCATCCGCGCCCACCTTCGCCCAGTTCGAGGACTTACCGTGCAGCAAGAAATGGAGGCTTTAGCAGTCAGAGAGATTCGAACAAGCGAAGCCCCCACGCTCACGCCTCGAGTGCAAGCAGGGACGTGCTGAGGGTGCACATGCCCGGAAAAAAAAACAAAAGGCTCTGACCGCTTTGAGGCGAAGCTCTCGGCTATACGTCTGCGCGTGATTTATTTGGCTTTGGTTTTTGTTTTTAAAAAGAACGCTACCTGTCCGCCACGCCCCCTGGCTAGCAGAGCAGCGGCTCGCCGACTCGCTCGCTCCCTCGCTGAGGCTTGGGTGCCTCGTTGAGTCTTTGGAGGCGCGCGTGCGCGTCTCCGCGCTTGCCGCGAGGAGGAATTCCAGCTTGTGACGTCAATCGGGGCGAGGGAAAGCGCGCGTCCTCCCTCGGGCGGCCGTGGACTTCTCCTCCCCCCCCCCCACCCTTGGAAGATGTCGGCTGTCAGCGTGAGCGTCACCTCTTCCATCCTCGTTGCTGGATGAAGAAGGGCAACTATGCCTGGTTGCTGGAAACAGCGGCGGAGAGGAGGAGATAGCGAAAGGAGAAGCGCGCAAATACAAGCACAGGAGGAAGAAAAGAGAAAAAAAAAAGCCGGGAATTCCGAATCTCGAGAAGCGACGGTCTTCTTTCACCGTCTCTGGTGGAGACCCTGAAAGGAAGCGCTCGCCTCCCAGGGCAGAGGGCCCGAGTGTCGACAGCGATACGGTGAAGGCCAGCGACCAAGGACCTTCAGCGCCAAGACTTCGGGGCCAGAGCCCGGGAGCTTCCAAGCAGCCGCTGGGAGCCTGGCTGTCGATGACGGCCGTGTAAATGGGCTCCGCACGAACACAACAGACTCAGCTTTGTAGCTGGAAGGAGATTTATGCCTCCATTTTTCAGAATGACTGCCGTGCAAAAACAAAACAAAAAAGTCTTTATTTCCAAATAAATATGTTCGGTGTCAGGGAAGCAGAAACAAGAGGGTTTAAATCACGGTAATTTGCTCACTATGTTGCCTTCATTTTTGGTGTAAATTATTAGGAGTGTAAGGAACAGGTGTGAAGCTCGGAGGAGGACGGAGAGGAATGGAGGCAGAAGGGAAGGAGGGCTTACAAGAGAAAGGAGGCAACAGAGCTATACTAAAAAGAAATCCGCTTCTCCCCTGCCAAAGCAATCTAAAGGGTGAGGCTTTTTAAAGCTAAAGAGCTTGACTCCAGTATTTCCTCCATTGCTAACTTCATACAGTTCATATTGCATACATAAAATGTTTGTTACAATCTAAAAGGCAAAATTTGGAGCTGATGTTACTTTTTACAAGGAAAAATGTGAATGGATTAAAAAAATTTAGTCTTTGAAGTTTTCCAATAGATTATCCTCAGTAAGCAACAGAATCAAATTTGTTTAAAAGAAAAAAGGTCATCCAGTTCCAGTCTATAATTTAAGAAGACAAGTGAGGGGTGAGTAAGAGCTGTTTCACACTTTGGGTAGGAATCATGTTCACAAAAGATATACAGATGGTTGCCATATTAAACAAAAAAAGTGTGAAGGACAAGTGTTCCTTAGCGCTTCAAAACGTAGGGCATCTTGGTGCATTTTAAAGTGTGTCTGTCTGAATATCTACTTTTTACATATCCTACAAAAACCGCTAAACTAGTTTTGCAAGAAATGGATTCCAATTCAAAGCACATTGAACTGAACACCGTGTGGGCAACCCTTCAGTTATTTCTTGTGAGAAAGACAAATCTAGACAGAATATTAAAATGGAAGGCATTCACACTGATAATGAAGACACTATTATCATAGCAATCATCTTCCCAGTTTTAATATGGTTGTGAAAGCCAGACATCAGGAAGGCTGAATGAAGAAAAACTAAGGTCCAGGCTCAAAAAAAAAAAAAAAAAAAATGGAGAACACCTTGGGCCACAAAAAGTACAAGTTAAATAATCCTAGATTAAGAAAATGAAAAGCAATCACTGAAACATTAATTAAAAAGCTAAAATTTTATCTGTTTTGGGGAGCTTCCGGTGGGAGGCGACGGCGATGGCGGCTAGCTTTTAGCCGTCCAGCTGGGGAAGTGTCAGAGCCGCGGAGCGCAGCGCGCATCAGCTGGCCCGCGGCTCGGAAATCCCTTCCCGGGCAAAGGGAAGGGATAGAGAACGCAAGAGTAGAGGTAGAACCCCTGAACCCCCTCTGGATTTATTTCTAGAGGGGGTGAAAGGAGTGTTCCCTCGGAGCTCTTGCTGATCTCCGCCTCCCAGCTGTTTTTGCTTCCTTGGAAGCAAAAGAAACCGCCGCTTCTATCTCCGTGTTTACAGCATTTTGGTGAGTAATTTTTAAACGGACGGAGCAGTTTAAAGGACTTTTTCTTATATTTTAGGTGTTTATTTTTTTATCTTTTGATTTTTACTATTTTTCCTCCTTTTCTTTGTTATACTAGTGAAAGGACTTAAGATGGCGTTTTGAAAGTGTCGGAGTTTTTTTTTCCTTTCTCTTTTGTTTTACTTTCCCTTTTTAAGGATTGTTTTTTGCTTTTGCTTTTGCTTTTGGCTTAGAATTTTTTTTTGAATTGTTTGTTCTTTTATTACTTATTCTTGGGATTTATTCTGGACTTTTAATGATTATAGTTTGTCTCTTTTTAAAAATTCTTTTTTTCTTTTTTTCCTCCTCCCTTTTTGGCTGGAGGGGAAAGGGAAGTGATAATTGTGCTTTTTAAAATGGCTTCAAAGAGGCAGCAGCCTTCCTCAGTACCCAAGGTTATTTCTTCTCCTATAACTTCCACTGCACAGCTACAACAACAATCTAAACATGCACCACCGGCTCAGCCACCACCCTCCCCTCCTCTACCTGGACTTTCAGTGCAAGAGGTTAGAGGCATAATGGGAGAGATTGTAGTTCAAATGAGAGAGGAAATGACTCAATTTGTTTCACAGATTAAATCAGAAATTAAATCTGATCTCAAAGAAGAGATAACGGGGATAAAGTCTAAATTGCAAGAAAATAATAATGAATTACGACAAGATATACTGGCAGCTGTTTCAGGTTTGGCTACTGTGGTGGTTAAGCTCGATGCAAGGCTTGAGGAAGTGGAAGACAAAGTTGACTCTTTAGATGACAAAATTCAAGACGTGGAAAGGAAGGTGGACTCCTCACAAGAAGATATTTTGATGTTTCAATACAGACAAATGGAGTATGCTCTGAGGATTAGAGGCCTCAAGGAAGATATGAATCAAGATTTGATGGAGGTGGTTCTTAGTGATCTGGCGCTGGCTTTGGATATGGATAAAGGAGAATTACAGAGAGAAGTAGAAAAAATTTATAGACTCAACTCCTGGATTGCTAAGCAGAAGAATTTGCCCAGAGATGTGGTGATTTACTTTACAAAGAAGTCCCTGCGGAATGAGATTATACAAGCTTTTTACAACAAAAGATTTCAGATTGCCGCCCAAGATGTCATCATTCTAAAGGAAATCCCATCTAAAATTTTAAGAAGTAGGAAAGACTTTGCTTTTTTAACCAATGAGCTTAAAGCTAGATCGATGCCATTCAGATGGGAAATTCCGATGGGTATCGTTTTGAGCCATGCTGGGACACGTTACAGATTGAACACAGTTGACAAAGCTAGAGATTTCTATACTTCGGTCCTGAGTGCAGGCTCAACTTCATCTGGTCGGAAATCTTTGAGTGCTAAGGAACCTGAGCAGCAATCTGAGGCACTAGATTTGGTTTCCGCAGGGATGATAGAAGTGGCAAAGCAACGCCAAACGGAGGCTAAAGAGCAGAGGATGACTCGTGCAGCTTATAAGCGTAAAGAGAAAGAGCAACGTAAAAAAGAGCCCAAAGAGAATTCTCCTGGAAGTGCATCACCGCCGGTGGGAGGAGCAAGACCCAAGAGTTATGCAACACACGCAGCTCTGTCAGAGTTTGATGGTGTCTTCTCCAGGCTGCGTGCCAAGGGAGATGGCAAAGTTTTTGACCTGGAATGTTAATGGATTGAATTCTCCTCAGAAACGGAAAAAAATCTTTTATTATTTGAAACAACATACCAATGATGTTATTTGTTTACAGGAAACTCATATTCTACTTAAAGATCAGAAATATTTAGTTAATGCTCGTTTGGGATCTCATTTTATATCTCCTGCACCTGGGAAGAAAGGGGGAGTTGTTATATATGTCAAACAAAACCTGCCAGCTTGTCTGGTAGAATCAGATCCCCAGGGGAGATATGTGATGATTGAACTTGGTATTTATGGTAAGAAAGTACTTATAGTTGGACTTTATGCTCCAAATCAACAACAGGAACAATTTTATAAACAGTTACACCAAAAAATAACTTTGCTTGATTATAGATCAGTGGTATTAATGGGTGATTGGAATGGTGTCTTAGATACACAAAGGGATAAGAAAGGTTCCTCTCCTTTTCTTAAACAAGCAAGGCTACCTAAAGCCTTTTTTGATATGAAAGAAGACTGGGAATTAAGGGACTATTGGCGGGAACGTAATCAAGAGGAGAGAGACTTTACTTTTTTTTCTGACAGACACCAATCTTTTTCAAGAATTGACTTTTTCTTGATTACCACGGATTTGTATAATAAAGTAAAGAATGTAAAGATTTTTCCTAGATCACTGACGGATCATAGTCCAGTTTGGATGGAGTTGATTCAAGAGAAAGAGGAAAGAAGATCCTGGAGAGTTAATGAAAATTTGTTTAGACAAGAGAAGAATGTTCAAAAACTAAAGGAGTGTTTACAGGACTATTTTGCTTTGAATATGTATAAGGGGACTTCAATGTCAATGGTATGGGATGCAGGTAAAGCATTTATGCGCGGTGTTTTGATAAAAATGAATAATTTTTATAAGCGAAATCAGACTCAGAAACGTAGAGAACTTGAAGATGAAATTAAACTAAAAGAAAGGGCTTTGATTCTAAATCCTTCTGATGAAAGTACTAAAGAATCTGTAAAGTTATTAAGGTCACAATTTAATATGTTGATAGCAGATCAAGCTGCAACCAATTTATTATTTATGAAACAAAATACATTTTGTAATGCTAATAAGCCGGGGAGATGGTTGGCTTATCAATTAAGAAAGAAACAGAGACTGAGAATAATAGAGAAAATAAATTATAAGGGTAAACTAGTTTCTCAGAAGGAATTAATTAAAAAATCTTTTTTGGATTATTATCAAAACCTATACAAATCTACTAATGTACAACTGTTAGATATAAATAAATATTTAGCTGAGGCAAGTTTTCCTAAACTGACTGAGGATCAGAAATATGAAATTAATGGTTTAATTACTAAGGAGGAAATCGCCTCAGCAATTCAACAATTGAAATTAGGGAAAGCACCGGGTACGGATGGGTTAACAGCTGTTTATTATAAAGCTTTAA